TGCCAGCATTGAGGATCAGGCCTCGATCCTTCAGCCAGTCTGCAAGGATTGAAACCGGAGCAGATAAGACATCGGATACCTCCTGTGCTGTTCGCCGGCTGCACGCGAGCGCAATGTCGTCCGCGAATTGAACTGACTCGGACTGGCCAACTACAGCGGGGACCTCGCGGGTGTAAAGGCTGAACAGAATGGGGCCCAGCACCGAGCTTTGGGGGACACCACTCGTGCAAGCTGATATAGAGCTAGTCCGCGACCTCAGACAGACACGTTGAGTGCGACCGGATGGGTAGCTGGCGAACCAGTCCAAGGCAGAACCGGACACCCCAACACTGTGGAGATCCTGCAATAGCTTGACATGGTCTGCCCCGTATGGGGCCACATAGCCAGTCATGGCAGTGGAAGAAGGAAGGAAGGTGTGTGTGTGTGTGTGTGTGTGTGTGTGTGTGTGTGTGTGTGTGTGTGTGTGTGTGTGTGTGTATGCACTGTTTCTTTTAGTGCTCATGAGGTGGATCTCTACCAGAAGATTGTTGTCCAGCATAAGACTCGTCAGCAGGTGAGAGAGAGAGAGAGAGAGAGAGAGAGAGAGAGAGAGAGAGAGAGAGAGAGAGAGAGAGAGAGAGAGAGAGAGAGAGAGAGAGAGAGAGAGAGAGAGAGAGAGAGAGAGAGAGAGAGAGAGAGAGAGAGAGAGAGAGAGAGAGAGAGAGAGAGAGAGAGAGAGAGAGAGAGAGAGAGAGAGAGAGAGAGAGAGAGAGAGAGAGAGAGAGAGAGAGAGAGAGAGAGAGAGAGAGAGAGAGAGAGAGAGAGAGAGAGAGAGAGAGAGAGGAGAGAGAGGGAGAGACAGAGGGAAGAGGGAGAGAGAGCGAGAGAGAGAAGGGGGGGGGAGGTAAGGAGGGATGGAGGGAACGATGGAGGGAGAGAGAGACAGAGGGAGATAGAGATAGAGAGAGAGAGAGAGAGAGAGAGAGAGAGAGAGAGATTAAGAGAGAGAGAGAGAGAGAGGGGGGGAGGGAGGGAGAGAGAGAGAGAGAGAGAGATCAAGAGAGTGGGTGTGTGACCGGGGAAGCTTTGCAGTACTAATTGCTGACCTATGTCAGGCAGTCAGCCTCTCGGAGGAATGTTTCACACAACCTTTTAGCAAATTACATAAATGCATAGCGGTTTGTGCGAGCGATGTCCAGCGTACTGGCGAGACATCAGTAATATTCTACACACAGACAAGACTTCTGACCATGCTGCTGTGTCAAGATGTTTGCCAGAACACCAGAAATCAGTCAAGTCCCATGGTTACGTATTTGCCGACCGAGCCAACTTTGAGGAGCACACCGACATGAAACACACATTTTGTTGTCGTTCTGTTGTTGATTTTCCCACTTTGGTTGAAGGAGCTTATTTCTGAGCATGCTGAGCTGCGGGAGATGTTGACAGCAATGCAACAGGAGAGTGCGTCCGTCTTGCGGCTCCGACACATACATATTATGCCTGAGGTGAGTAATCTGTGTGTGTGTGTAAGTGTAAGTGTGTGTGTGTATGTGTGTGTGTGTGTGTGTGTGTGTGTGTGTGTGTGTGTGTGTGTGTGTGTGTGTGTGTGTGTGTGTGTGTGTGTGTGTGTGTGTGTATGTGTGTGTGTGTGGATGGGGGTGGGGCACATTGCTTGTAGCAGTTCAGTTGTGCCTGGCTTATGAATTGTCTTTCTAGTTCGTTTATATCAATTCAAATACTACCGGCACAAATTGCACAATCCTGTTATTATCTTGACTACGGATTTCTATGATAGTTTAGTCATGGCCAAAGAAATCCGACCTGCTAGTCAAAAGTAGCGCCGTGTTTCCATTCAATTCCACCATGGATGTTCCCAGAACTGATCCGAGAGCCGCAGGGGCGGCATGAGCCTTGATGCTGCTTTCGGCACGTGGGTTGAATTTCTTTTGCCACAACTGTAGGCTGTGTTTGCATCCTGCACCGTGTCTGTGAAGCAACAACACGAGTCAGGGCTGGGGTAACACTGCTTGCTGTCATAGAGTGTGGCTAGTGAACTCTTTGTGCTGTCTGCTAGCTTTGTCTGGTCTCGTCGGGTCAAATCAAAAACCTTTGACTACAGTACGGACGGATACGTACTACTTACGAATTGACGGACCGAATGAAGAGGGCATCAACAAATTATGACTTTTCCTGGACCAGGAAATGTGCCATTGATTTGAAGAAGGGTGCGATCTGTTGCATACAATATACTTAGCACTGTCCAGTAGGCCTTGGCGGATAATGCTCGAAAAGGTGGCAGATTCTGCTTTTCTTTCACCGAAATTGGCAGAACCATACAAACCTTATGGCGGGCTGTTACAGACCCTTGCACATGAATTCACAATTATTGTATTTGCTCGTTCGAATTTATTTGTATTTTGTTTCTCTCACCTTTCACTATTCCCGAGTTGATCACGTATGTGCGTGCTCCACTCTGCTGCAGTTAGAGGCAGCTACTCTACATGCAGTCGAGTCGATTCTATTGTGTATCTGCATGTCTCCTTGACAATATCTGTCCAGCTCTAAATAATTAGAATTAAATTCCTTCTCTCTTCTCTCTCGCTTCTTCTCTTCGATTTATTTATTTTCGCTTTTCTCAGTTATTTTTGTTTGTACTTTGTACGCTATCGCTCTATCTGCATGACGCGATGCAGTTTATGGATGCCGTCACTCCTTGGGGCGCCGTGCCTGCACTTTTGGGGCGCAGTGCACCGGATGCGCAGTGACCTCTACGATGTACGCCAGAACTAGGCATGTTTTTGGCTGCATGTTTCCTTTTGCGCTGCCAGCTTTTCTGCTTGAGGCTACATGTATGCGTGTCACGCTTTGCTTTTCGGAACTCTTTGAGTTTCAGTTTTTATGCCACTTTGTAAAGAACAAGAAATGGTTCGAAGGAAATCTTGTCTACCATGGCCACAGGGCCGCAACATGGTCCTTCGAGCCGGATGAGCAGTTCTAAGGAAATATACAGTCTTCAGATTACAGAAACACAGCAATGTTGCTGCGAAATCGTAGAGGTAAGGGCGAAACGGATATGGCCGATGTCGCCGAGCAGGCTGCTGAGCTGGAGTTGCCAGCATCCCCTGCCTCACTCGCCTCATCGATGAGATCGTCCTCCTCCGTGAAACGGCAAAAAGCGGAGGCCAATTTGGAGATGGCACGACGTTTGATGGCAATTGAGGAGGCGGATGCGCAAGAACGACTGGATAGGCAGAGGCGTGTGCTTCAATTGGAGTTGGAGGCGCGCCATGCCCAAATCGACAGCACCTCGTCCTCTCGTTCGCGACGATCGTCTCGTCCTGCATCCAGTGCGCCGACACAGCATTTGAGGCCGTTGTTGGCATCGTCGACTACCCGATCAGCAGCGTCGTTGATCAGCTCTGGCCAGGAGAATAAAGTAGAAGTAAGCTCATCTCAGCCCCGATTAGAAACAGTGTGTAAACTTCCGGGAAAGTCCGCCTTGACCGCTACTAGGCATTGGGTAGAGACCCAGAAACCCGGCACTGCACACGCCACACTTGCGGCAGGGACAACAGCAACAAAGCCAGCTCAGGAGAGTCCTGAGGCTGGAGGCCTGCACCCAGCGCAAGCAGCAAACGGCATGCAGAAGTTTCTGATCCGACAGACGGTTGGTCGTGACTTGCCGGCATTCTCTGGCGACTCGGAGGAGTGGCCCATATTCGCCTCGACCTACCAGAGGACGTCAGACGAGTGTGGGTTTTCGCCATCGGAAAATGTAATTCGGCTGCAACGTTGCCTGAAAGGCCCAGCCAAGGCTGCCGTCGGAGCGATGCTCACCGTGCCGGAGAACCTGCCGACGGTACTCCAAGTCCTCGAAAGCCGGTTTGGTCGACCGGATGCTGTGATTGCTGCCATGATCGGGAAAGCCAAGGCCATTGGACAGGTCAAGCCAGGAGACTTTGATAGTCTTATCAACCTGTCCACTGCTGTGACGACTCTAGTTACTACCATGGAACACCTTCGAAGTGAAGGTCACATGTATAACCCTCAGCTACGTCAAGAGCTTGTTGGTAGGTTGCCAACATCCCTGCGACTGCAGTGGGGAGAAGTACTTGTGCGTCAGGGTAGCCATGACATCAGCTTGCGAGTGTTTTCTTTGTGGCTGGCGGACAAGGCTGAAGCAGCTGTGCGCGTCGTGGATCTGCCGGGTACCCGAACCGACAAGACGCAGCGGGTGTACAGTCACCAGGAAGTTTCGGCAGTACACAGCACAGCAGCAGCGACGGCACCAGCAAGTGCAACCAGTAAAACTCAGTCAGCCTGCCTTTGCTGCAAACAAGTGCAGCATGCCCTCAGTAAGTGTTCAACATTCACGAAGCTTGGCCAGAAAGCCCGTTTTGAGCTGGTAAAACGTCATCGTCTTTGCTTTTCTTGCCTGGCCAGTGGACACGCTACCAGGGAGTGTGGCAGCAGGAAGCAGTGCAGTGAGCCTGACTGCAAGTACCACCATCATGTGCTCCTGCACAAGGGCAAGGCCGCAGAGAAGCCAGTCGACACTTGTGGGCACACTGGTATTCCTGGTGCAACCCGAGTGTTGCTGAGAGTGTTGCCAGTGACGGTTAGTGGCCCAAAGGGCTGTGTGGAGACACTTGCTCTGCTGGACGAAGCCTCAACTGTCACGCTAATGGACAAGGCCTTAGCGGATGACATAGGTGCTGTTGGACAGTCGGATCCCCTGCATATGGCATGGACGAATTCGACGACGCACACGGACAACTCGTCATGCAGAGTCTCTGTATTGGTCAATGGCAGCGATGGCACCCAGCATCAAATGGATGATGTGAGAACAGCCAAGGACCTCAAGTTGCATTCGCAGTCAATAGATGGCAGAGGGCTGGCGAGTCGATGGCCTCATTTAGATGACTCCAGAGTGGCGTCGTACCCAGCAGTACAACCGAGGATGCTCATTGGGCAACCTCACAGTGGCACGTGAAGTCGTCGAAGGCCCGCCAAATGCACCTATGCTGACGAGAACCCTTCTTGGTTGGGTAGTGCACGGTCGCATTGGAGCCCGGACTCACCAAGATCAACTCGAACCGGAGGCGATCTACCACATCTGGCAGCCTGAGTCGGATTTGCACCAACTAGTGAAAGAGTCATTCACCATTGAGAACTTTGGCGTTGTACCGTCTGCTTCTGCTGGCAAGCCAAAGGCCATGATCCGTGCTGAAAGTATCCTGAACGACACCACGGTTCGCGTTGGTGACCGGTATGAGACAGGCCTCCTCTGGAAGTCAGATCAGCCCAAGCTTCCGTCCAGCCAAGACATGGCTTTCAACCGTCTAATGGGCATAGAAAGAAAGATGGCTAAGTCTCCAGAATTCGCAGCAGAGTATGCCCAGAAGATCGATGAGTACGTTCAGAAAGGCTACGCTCGTAAGCTAACACCAGCAGAGGCTGCCGAGCAAACCGCACATACCTGGTACCTACCACATTTCGCTGTGTTCAATCCGAACAAGCCCGGGAAGCTGCGTTTCGTATTCGACGCGGCCGCCAAAGCTAGAGGGATGTCGCTAAATGACGCACTGCTCCCAGGCCCAGATTTGCTGAACCAGCTCGTGGGTGTCCTGATGAAGTTCCGCCAACGTGCTATTGCCTTTGCGGCTGACATCAAAGAGATGTTTCATCAAGTTCGGATACGCCTAGAAGACCAGCCAGCTCAGCGCTTCCTGTGGCGACAACCTGGTGAGACTGGCCCGCCTGACACGTACGTCATGGAAGTCATGATCTTTGGCGCAGTGTCATCGCCATGCTCCGCGCAGTTCACGATGCGGCGCAATGCTGAGGAGCACCGCGAGGAATTCGCTGCTGTAGCCGCAGCATGCGAGGAGAACTACTACATGGACGACTACCTGGACAGCGTCGATACTACCGACCAGGCGGTACAGCGTGTAGCCGATACAATTGAGATCCAGCAGCGAGGCGGGTTTACGATCCGCAACTGGATTAGCAACTGTAGCGAAGTGATGATGAGTGTGCCAGCTGATATGAGAACAGCTGGAGTCGTTGACCTCAGCTCACAACTGCCTGTGGAGCGCATGCTGGGTCTTCGGTGGGACCCGAACAGTGACGAGTTCCTGTTTCAACTCAACGTGACACGCCGAGAGCAGCTGTCTGCCGCGCATCCCACCAAGCGATCCCTACTCAGCATCGTCATGTCAGTTTTCGACCCGCTAGGCTTCCTGGCTGCGTTTGTCATTGCCGCACGGATACTCCTCCAGGACATCTGGTTGAGCGGCATCGGTTGGGATGATGAGATTCCACCCGAGCTGCTATCGCGCTGGCAGATTTGGTGTGGACAGCTGCTCGAGATCAGCAAGTTCAGAATCTCACGTGCGTACTCCTGTTTCACGTCGTCCGCTACTGACCTGTCTCTACATGTGTTCTGCGATGCCAGCAGTAAAGCGTTTGCGGCAGTGGCGTACCTGAGAGTGGAGCACGCAGATGACGTCGAGTGCAGCTTGGTTGCCGCCAAGACTAGAGTAGCCCCGCTGAAACCAACATCCATTCCACGTCTGGAGCTCCAAGCTGCAGTGCTTGGCTGTCGACTCGCCCAGATGTTAGCTCAAGAGCATGGGCTTAAGTGGCACAGCACCTGTTTCTGGTCCTGTTTCTGGTCAGACTCCAGAACTGTTCTCCAATGGATCAAGTCAGATGCGCGACAGTTCAAGCCGTTTGTCGCTCACCGAGTAGCTGAGATCTGCGACGCCAGTGAGGCCAGCAGTTGGCACTGGGTACCAACACTGCTAAATGTTGCAGATGATGCATCTCGTGGTATCTCCATGCACGAGCTGAGCTGCGGCCGATGGAAGTCTGGTCCGGAATTTCTAATGCAGTCACGGGAAGCGTGGCCAGCTGCACCCGCAACGTCGGATGAGTGCATCGACACGACCGAAGTGAAGAAGGAGTTTGTTGCGGCGACAACATCCCTGCCAAGGCCCCAGCAAATTGCCGAAGCGCTGCCTGACGTCAACCGATTCTCGTCATGGAAACGTCTCATCTGCACAACCGCGTATGTTGCCAGGTTCATCGCAAACACACGGGCCAGAGTTCGCGGCCAAACTGTCGGATCAACCGCAGCCATTTCAGCCAAGGAAATGGATGCGGCCGAGCAGCTCTGGATGAAATCTGTGCAGGCAGAGTGTTTTGCCGAAGAAGTGGCATTGTTGAGCGATGGCCAGCCTGTCAGCACCAGCAGTCGTCTACGACAGCTAGCACCAGCCATTGACGAGGACGGGATCCTGCGGGTTCAGGGTCGCCTCACACATGCGACGGAAATGGCGTACAGTGCGAAACATCCGGCTATCCTGTGTCCGAAGCATAGGTACACACAGCTCCTAGTCCATGAATACCATCTGCGTTCTGGCCATCATGGACACGAGAGGACATTGAATGAGCTTCGCCAGCAGTACTGGGTGACGGCAGGTCGAGCAGCTGTGAAGCGAGCATGGTCTGAGTGTCAATACTGCAAGAACCAACGAGCCAATCCCAAGCCACCTGTAATGGGAAATCTACCTGTCCAGCGCTTGACCCCGTTCCTGCGACCATTCACGTTCACCGGGCTGGACTATTTCGGGCCGTTGCACATCAAGATCGGGAGGCGCTGCGAACTGCGCTACGGTGCGTTGTTCACATGTCTGAGTACCCGCGCTGTACATTTGGAAGTGGCTCACTCTCTGAACACTGATAGTGCCATCATGGCAATCAGGCGAATGTGCGCCCGGCGAGGTTGCCCCCAAGAAATCCACTCGGATAATGGAACCAATTTCCGAGGAGCTGACAGGGAGCTGAAGGCGGCATTGGAAGATTTCCGCCAAGACCGACTAGCTGCTGAGTGTTCCAGTAAGGGCATCTCATGGCACTTCAACCCGCCACTTGCTCCCCACATGGGTGGAAGCTGGGAGCGCCTCGTCAGAGCAGTGAAGATCGCTATGAAATCCGTCATGAAGGAGCGTGTCGTGACAGAAGAAGTACTAGCCACAGTCTTCGCTGAAGCCGAACAACTCGTGAATAGTCGGCCGCTGACTCACGTCTCAGTAGATCCTGATGATGACGAGTCCCTCACACCCAACCACTTCCTCATTGGGTCCAGTAGTGCAACTAGTCGGCCAGGCGTGTTTGTAGATGCTGATTTGTGCCTGAGGAAGCACTGGCGGATTGCACAGAAGATCACCGACGAATTCTGGAAGAGGTGGATCTTGGAATACCGGCCAGAACTCACCAGGCGGAGGAAGTGGCAGGACGGCACACCGTCACTGGCTGTAGGTGATGTTGTGGTGGTCGTCGACAGCAACCAGCCACGAGGGCAGTGGCCTCGGGGCCGACTAGAGGCTGTACACCCGGGCAGTGATGGCGTTGTGCGGGTGGCAGATGTGCGCACCAAGTCTGGACTGTACCGGCGCCCAGTCGTTAAGCTTGCCAAGCTGGACGTGCTGCGCTAACTTTGTTTGTGACTTGTAACAGGTCATCGGTTCCCTGTTACCAGGGGGGAGAATGTTACAGACCCTTGCACATGAATTCACAATTATTGTATTTGCTCGTTCGAATTTATTTGTATTTTGTTTCTCTCACCTTTCACTATTCCCGAGTTGATCACGTATGTGCGTGCTCCACTCTGCTGCAGTTAGAGGCAGCTACTCTACATGCAGTCGAGTCGATTCTATTGTGTATCTGCATGTCTCCTTGACAATATCTGTCCAGCTCTAAATAATTAGAATTAAATTCCTTCTCTCTTCTCTCTCGCTTCTTCTCTTCGATTTATTTATTTTCGCTTTTCTCAGTTATTTTTGTTTGTACTTTGTACGCTATCGCTCTATCTGCATGACGCGATGCAGTTTATGGATGCCGTCACTCCTTGGGGCGCCGTGCCTGCACTTTTGGGGCGCAGTGCACCGGATGCGCAGTGACCTCTACGATGTACGCCAGAACTAGGCATGTTTTTGGCTGCATGTTTCCTTTTGCGCTGCCAGCTTTTCTGCTTGAGGCTACATGTATGCGTGTCACGCTTTGCTTTTCGGAACTCTTTGAGTTTCAGTTTTTATGCCACTTTGTAAAGAACAAGAAATGGTTCGAAGGAAATCTTGTCTACCATGGCCACAGGGCCGCAACACGGGCAATTCCTCGAATTCTGCTCCATTTCTTTATCCACATACCAAACATGCATGAAACTTACCAGAAAAAGTACCGAATTCTGCCAATTGTTCTGCCGGCATTATCCGCCAAGGCCTACTGTCCAGCAGGGTATTCTGATTCAAAGTTTTTTATAACATTACTACTTCAGTATAAAGTACTCGTATTATATAAATCATAAGTTTTTTTGAATGAAAAACCAAAAATATTTGGCACCTATGAAATCAGGGGATTAGGCCTTGACAGAATATTTTCGTGAAATTATGCTTTTCGCATTGCTGAAAAAATTGCAGAATTAATTAATATGCTATTTTCATGCTAAAGGTTATCATTATTATGCCGCATTATGCTCACATTATGCTGCTAATGTATAATGGTTCTGTGCAAAATAACAGGGAAATTTTTTTGTAGAGGGCGTTGCACTGTAGTAGCAAAAGTTCAACGGGGTCAACGCACCGTCCGACCTAGCTATGACCATCACTGATTGTAGTGGACTGGACATGTTCTCAAGGGAGTCGTAAACCTACGACTTCCTGGTGCATCTACTTGTACTTGTACTTGTAGAACATGTACAAATGTATGGAATTTGATGTGAACAGGCAGATTATTCCAATTTTATGCAATTCGTATGCAATTTGCCTCGAATTATGCGATTATTTGATTTTGGTAGAAATTATGCGAAATATTATGGTAGCATAATCTATCAAGGCCTACAGGGGATGGCCCACGCCTAGTAAAAAAAAACAATGAGGAGCTACGGTTATACTGATTGGTGAAAGTTGGTTTTCGGATTTCTCCAGAACTTCAGTTGCTACGAGTATGAACTTGCAATCCTTACACGTTGACAGGTAGGCATAATTATACGGATAATGCCGGCAGAAAAATTGTCAGAATTCGGTACTTTTTCTGGTAAGTGTCATGCATGTTTGGTAGGTGGATAAAGAAATGGAGCAGAATTCGAGGAATTGCCCGCCATAAGGTTTGTATGGTTCTGCCAATTTCACTGCTTTTCAAGCAAGAATCTGACACCTTTTCGAGCATCATCCGCCCACCTTTTCGAGCATTATCCGCCAATGCCTATTGTTCTATTGACTGGTGAAAAGTGCCGGTAAATTATTCACAGTGGGTGTTATCATTGTGCTACACATGTAGTGTGCTCAGCTAGGCGGGACAGGAAGATGCACTCATACGGACTAATACTGACTAACACGGATTAATACGGACTAACACTGACTAATACTGACTGACCTGACCGAAATGACTGAACTGACTGAACTGACACAGCAGGCCAGGTACATCAGCAAGCCAAACACTCATACAGACTGAAACACAGAAACGACGTACCAGTGCATTTACAGCAAGGTGCTTTGATGCAGACGTGAACTGACACGGCAATCACGGTGCATCACCAGGGTTCGAGGAACAGCCCATAGCATGGATTCTTGCCCAGACGCTCATTACGTGCCATCTTCATCAGCGTCGTCATGGGAACGTTGCCCACGACCAGCAATGGTGTGCTCCTGCTACACTTGCCATGCATCAGCTTCCAGTGGAGAAACCCCGGAGCAGGGGTCAGACTTGCACCCGCCTTGTGCAGCAGAAACCCAAGCATGGCGTCCTCGACGTTACCGGGAAGCGCAGAAGATGCCTGAGTCAGCGCCTGACGCACAGCATGGATGGCAATGTCCCGCGACACGATGTAAGAGAAACCGGACGCAAACGGAGGGTACGTCTTGTCTTTGATCACGGCCATGTGATTGTCGTTGATGCAGTTTTTACTTCGACTGTACAATGCACAGCGGACTACATCACGGTTCTGCTCCGGATGAGGGCTGCCTGTGTACAGCCCTTTTTTGGGCTGCTGCATCAGCCATACTAGCAAGTTCTCAAACACTACGTACGCATCATCATCCACTAGCATTAGATAGTCGGATGTGGGTTGCTGGAGCTGATACCAATGCAGTGCCCATAACGTCTTTGACGTCATTGTGTCATAGCCGTCCATGATGGGAGCCACAAATACATCCTTCTTGCTCTCCACCTCCGCTCGAAGCCTGGCCATGACGTCTGCACTCTCAGATTGTCCAGTGTAAAATTGGCACAGTGTTCGAACGTTCTTCAGTACATCCATGTGCTCATCCGCTTTGGGTCCGTCGGGAACGAAATGTCTGCTTCGGCAGCGATTGAACCATAGCTTGCGTGTCAGCTCTCGCCTCTCGAAGTATGTAGGACCCGTCTTGACCAAGATAGTCACGGACATGAGACTTTCAGTCGAGCGGCGGGTTGCTGGAACGGCGTACTGTTTCGGCTGACCAGTGGCGCATCTAGCCGGCCTCAGCCCGCCCTCAGTGTTGAGGTCCTGGAAGTCTGGCCGAAGCTTGACTGCCCTGTAGAAGCCATCCACTTGCCATTCGTATGCCCGTAGATTTTGTTCATCGAGGGATCGTTCCACTGCGTACCACAGGATGAGAGCTACCGTCAATATCTGAGTCACGCACAGGATTCGCAGCAGCAGCGGGCGAGGACGCGAGTGAACGACTCGTGACTCATTCGCTTTCCAGAACATACTAGTAGCAGTGACCATCGCAGCAGATTCGTTTTCCCCAGACAAGAGCAGGACTACAAGTAGAGTGGGAGTTCTCACTACGGAACTACGAAAATTATATATATCTCAGGGAGTGGATGTTGATTCCTTGTATACTAGTACTAGGTTCTTCATGTTACCCTCTTTATTACTACAACGCGTAGGGCGTGCCATGGCAGCCAAGGATTGCGGCAAACACTTGGAGCGCATCGATCGAGCGCGGTCTTGGGTTATGGAAAGATGGACAACTAATACTTACCGAGCTCGATCAACCACGCTGATTTCGTAAACTTATGGCCCAGGGCAGAGTTACGACAGCCGTGCATATGCGGATACGCCGGTTCTTGCTATGGATGATGTGGTGCCCTCTTGCCTTGGTGCCCGTGGATGGCACCAAGAGTGCAAGGTTTATGTACTGTGGTGGCACTGATTGCATGGTTTGAGATATCCTGCGTCAGAAACAGCCTGCGCCTGCTGTGCCTAGTCCGGATGTGTTGCTTCCTGGACCGCTGGGCCATGTGAATGAAATTTACTATGCCAGTATTGACTTGATAAAGAAAACAGCCTTGGCGGTCCGTGGATCGGCGGAACCGTCTGGTTTGGACTCTGGCGCTTGGCGCAGACTGTGTACGTGCTATAACTAGTATAAGCGTGCATCGACCTACAGTGCTGGCAACTGAAATCCGACACCCTTGGCGGCGCGCCGCGCCGCCAAGGGTGTCGGATTTCAGTTGCCAGCACTGTACTTATTATTTTGTTGTTTGTATTTGTTTTGATTCGCAAATAATAGAACCCAATAACAAGAAAGCGAATATGAAAATTATAATGAGGCCACACTGAAGAAGGTGTGTGGTTCGACTAACATGGACATTTTTTTACGGGCGGGCGGGCGGATTTTTTTTAAATATATTTTTTATAAATTCGGAACGACGCTTCACGCAGCTTCATTATAGCAACTTGTATTGTGGCAACACTGGCCAACACTCAGATGCACTGCTTCTTCACACAGCTGAACAATTCTTCTTTCTTCTCAACGTTTCGGTCACTCTGACCATCTTCAGGATGAAGCGGACACGGAAGCAAGGCAGACTTTAAAACAACAAGCTGGCTAGGTGCGTGCGGAATACAGCGGGGAGAACAAAACAAAAAAACAACAACTCCCAAGCGAAAAAATGACACATGCCACATGATCGCAATAGGGGTGCTAGTCCTCCGTGTGAAAGACTAGGGCGGTGATAATTATGTACAACCTGTGCCACATGACTACAGTAGTGTGGACAGTGCCAACATAATGCTAAAGTCTAGGGTGGTGATACGTACAGTTTGTGGGTGCTAAGGTTTCACATGGATAGCTATCACTCCAATGAAAAAGCCAGACAACCAGAGTTCACAGGAGATCCCAACCACTGCTGGTGTTGATATTAGTTTCCGGAAATGTATGGTCTGCCCAAAGACCATAAAGCAGGAGTGCCATTGAGACCGGTAGTGTCAGCCTGCGATAGTCCAGTCACCAATGTCTCCATCCTCCTAGAGCGAATACTTAACCAGTGTCTCAAGTTCATCCCAGCTCACCTCGAGAATACAGTGGAAGCATTGGACAGCATACGCCAGCATTACCCCGACCTTCAAGCTCCACCCGGAACCATTGCAGTGACCATGGATGTGGTTGCCCTCTATCCTAGTATCCCCATCGTGGACGGTATTGAGGCAGTTACCAGAGTTCTGCAGCAGCATGTCAGTGATATCGACACGTTTGGCCTGAGTATTCTACAGATCAAGGAGCTGCTGTCATTCGTCCTGAGATCCAATTATTTCCGTTTCGGCTCCATGACCTACCATCAGAGAGAGGGCGTAGCCATGGGTAATAATCTGGCACCCCCCTTCGCCATTATATTTATGTACGACCTCGAAAGGTCACTGTTGCAGTCTGCGCCCGGCGCTCCTGTATTGTTCAAGAGATACATCGACGACATCATCATGCTGTGGGTATTAGGATCGGCGCTCCTCTGTCGTTTTATTCAACACTTCAACGATGGTAACCCACTGATCAAATTTACCCACCAGTCCACAGAAGAAACGGGCTCCATTGACTTCATGGACACCACAATCCATGTGTCAACAACTGGAGCCATTTCATACGAGCTCTTCCGCAAACCATGTCACAGTGGCTTGGTGGCTGACTACAAATCCGCCGTTCCATATCAACAAAAGTTCTCAATTGCCTCTTCCGAATTCCTCCGTGCCTCTCGACTATCATCGGATAATGAGACGTGCCGGAGGAGTGAAAAGAAGGTCATCGACGTGCTGAAATTCAACAATTTCCCCCAATCAGTGATTGACAAGGCCCGGGAACGAGCTGGACGACCGACAGGACCCAAACAGAAAAAGGACTTTCGCACAACACTCAAGCTGCCATTCAAAACCGATCACATCCACAAGAAGGTGCAGTATCTCATTCGCAAATATCAGCTGAACACCCACATCATATACAAGAATGCTCGGCTCAGCTCGCGGGTTTGCAGGTCTGCTTTGGACAAGCCCCTATGCCGCAAATTCGTTGATCCACAGCAGCCAAGGAGAAGGGGAAGACCGAAATCAGCTTGCGTGGCATGTACAGCAGGGGCAGTGGACTGCACCCGCCGAAACGTGGTATACCACCTCGAGTGCCGTTGCGGTGATGACTATGTGGGTGAAACTGGCCGAAGCGTTGCGACAAGGTCAAGGGAGCACAACGATAATGCACGCAACGAGGTCCGAGGGAAGGCGCTGGGTGAGCATTACCGGATCTTCCATGCCGATGAGCCATTGTCGCTGGGGCAGACCGGATTCGCCAACGTCTGTGTGCTTGCGACAGAGCCAGACAGGGCAAGGAGAAGGATTCGGGAAGCGGTCAAGATCCGGGACATGGAGCCTAATATCAACACCAGCAGTGGTTGGGATCTCCTGTGAACTCTGGTTGTCTGGCTTTTTCATTGGAGTGATAGCTATCCATGTGAAACCTTAGCACCCACAAATTGTACGTATCACCACCCTAGACTTTAGCATTATGTTGGCACTGTCCACACTACTGTAGTCATGTGGCACAGGTTGTACATAATTATCACCGCCCTAGTCTTTCACACGGAGGACTAGCACCCCTATTGCGATCATGTGGCATGTGTCATTTTTTCGCTTGGGAGTTGTTGTTTTTTTGTTTTGTTCTCCCCGCTGTATTCCGCACGCACCTAGCCAGCTTGTTGTTTTAAAGTCTGCCTTGCTTCCGTGTCCGCTTCATCCTGAAGATGGTCAGAGTGACCGAAACGTTGAGAAGAAAGAAGAATTGTTCAGCTGTGTGAAGAAGCAGTGCATCTGAGTGTTGGCCAGTGTTGCCACAATACAAGTTGATATATTTTTTAGTACATGTAAATACACTGTACTGCCTTTAGACACCCAGTACATCGGCATTATTACGCAGTGTTATGCCATACATGTTGTATAAAGGGATCACTGGCTAATACTTTGAAACATTGTGTAGCTCTGGAACGAGAAGAGAATAACTTCAAGCGGTGACTCTGACTGTCCAAATCATCAAGCAAATGAAGAACGATGCGAGTTGAAAGTAAGTTCGGGAACTACTTCGAAGTACAAATTGTACAATGTACCGGTACATGTATTGCTAGTTTGGTGTCGGCGTGCACGAATACATGGGCTTTTTCCATCGACGCTTCCTGTGCTTGCACACATGGAGCAGCAACTTACCGGTACAGGTGAAATATCGTTCCCAATACACGAGGAAAGTGCAATCTCGTCTGTCCTTCATCCCAAAACAGAAGGCCGTCCTTAATCTGGAACGAGGCAATCACTCTCAACCGGACGGTCCCTTCAAAATAAGTCTCGCCAGTCTGCCGGTGGTCGTATCGAGTAGACTCTACTACCAGCACAAGGCAGCAGTCGTACCACTCACTGCACTGCACTGTAGTACAACTACAAGTCAAGTCCAAAAGGAGCCGCCCTGCGTCCGCAGACTCACGCTGCACAGCACGTAGACGTGGACGTGTTCAGTCCACGTACGTAGATCTACGTCAGTCACACGACAGCTAGCTCGCCGAAAAAAAGTTACGGTTGGGCTGAAAAATGTACGGTCGGTCGGGTGAGTCGAACCACAGACCTTCTTCAGTGTGGCCGGCCTGAGAATGAGAATTAAAGGGGAAGTTAAGGCAAAAATTAAAATTTCACCAGTTGTAGTCTTCGGGCTGCTGAGTCGAATGGTCGTGGTCCGAGGAAGCTGAGACGCTCCCTTCCTACTTGAATCCCAATCGAACTCGCGCACTTCCACCGAAACTGGGTGACTGCGCCCTACTAGATGGGGATTTGTATGCAAAATGTCACTAAAAGCGCCATTTCGTTCTTATAAAAGCATGGATGACCGCGATTGGCCCATATGTTGTAGTCTTTTGGACGCTGAGTCGATTGGTTTTGGTCCGAAAAGGCTGCGATGCAGCATTCCTCCTTTATTCCCAATCGAACATGGTTGAACAAGCGGTCACGTGCTCCTGCGTACGCCAGTCACCTGGTCACCGTGCCTGCAGGGTACAACTTACTAGCTTGTTTGACCTTTTTTGGGTGCAGTCCTGTCACTCGAGTTGAACCTTGGTGTGAAAGTTGTCGCCTGCTGGCGTGGTGACCAGGTGATTTGGGCACCCAGGAGCACGTGACCACTTGTTCAACCATGTTCGATTGGGAATAAAGGAGGAACGCTGCATCGCAGCCTTTTCGGACCAAAACCAGTCGACTCAGCGTCCAAAAAACTACAACATATGGGCCAATCGCGGTCATCCGTGCTTTTATAAGAACGAAATGGCGCTTTTAGTGACATTTTGCATACAAATCCCCATGTAGTAGGGCGCAGTCACCCAGTTTCGGTGGAAGTGCGCGAGTTCGATTGGGATTCAAGTAGGAAGGGAGCGTCTCAGCTTCCTCGGACCACGACCATTCGACTCAGCATCCCAAAGACTACAACTGGTGAAATTTTAATTTTTGCCTTAACTTCCCCTTTAAAATACTTAGATCTTCAGCGTAGAGTCAGCGGTACATCAGAGGGAGATCGGGTGCAACAGAAAGAGAACAGAAAAAACAGAAGATTTCGCTTATCGGCTGTGCAAAGTTCGTGGGTACTGAATACCATGGTATGGCCAACTGTGTAGCAGTCTACAACGTGTAGGGAATGGCAATTCGGCGGAATGCTGGGATGTTGCCCATGGCTCGCACCGTTTCAGGTATAATGGTTCCATAATATTATAATAACAGGCAACCGCGAGATGCCGGTCGGCATTGGCCTGCTCGGCTTCTGGCTATTGGTTGTTGTAGGCCCAGACTGCGCTGAAGGCGAGTTGCTTCGCAGTTGCGAACAAACAGTGCCTGCAGAGCAGGACTGGCACGGTTATGAACGAACCGCCATACCAGCACGAGCAGTTTCTGGCGATATAACTCGTCCACGCGATAAACAGAGAGCCTCTCCAAGAGGTCACGGGCCCTGGTAAATCGTTGTCGTCCGAACACTGCCCTTGCTGCGCGGTTTTGGGCCACCTGCAAGCGGTTTAGCTGGTTGTGGGTCAAGCCGGAGCCATATGCTGACGATCCATAATTATATCAAATCCGGCATGACGACGGATAGGAAGTACTTGCTTCGACTAGCTAGAGTGAGGCAGCGTCGCGCCCGCCACAGACTACCCATTTTCCTAGCAGTGCGTGAGATGCACCGGTCAACTTGCGGTTGCCAGGCCATTCGTTCATCGATCAAGACGCCGAGGTACATGTATTTCGCGCTGGCTGTGTGCGGAAGGGCATAATTTCGACAGCATACCACCACGTCCGGCTGCTGCCCACTGCTGCTGGTAAAAACCAATACATTGCTCTTCTTTGCATTTAATACAAGACCACGAGCGTCCGGCCAACTTGAGAGGGAGGTAACCGCCAAGCTGAGCGCATCAGACACCTCTTGCGCTGTCCGTCTTGCACATGTCAGGGCGATGTCATCCGCAAACTGCAGTGATGATGCCGGCCCAGATTCAGAGGGGACATCTCTGGTGTATATGGAGAACAACATGGGTCCTAGTACAGAGCCTGACGGCACACCACAAGTGCACGGTACAGTTCTGCCCAGTCGGGAGCCCATACGAACGCGTTGATGGCGCCCAGACAGATAGTCCCGAAACCATTTCAGGGTTGTGCCGGAGATACCGATGCTGAACAAGTCCTGGATGAGGGTGGCATGCTTCACCTTGTCAAAGGCTTTACTCATATCTAACAGGCATGTCGCTACAACAGAACCATTGTCTCGGGCTTGGAGGACGGTGTCCGAGAGCAGTGCCAGCGCATCTTCGGTCGAGTGTCCAGGGCGGAATGCAAACTGGGTCACAGTGGGCGTTAGGGAGAGCTGCACTTACATGTATGTGATGCTATGGGCATTTTTACACGTGTGATATGTAGAGCGGCTAGAGGGGACGGCTCGATACCGGGACGCTTTGACAGCCAAATTTGTATAGACCCAAACCGATCATCAGCGTTGATTTTTCACTCGAAATATGTTTGTGGAAGGAAACTGGCGTGTTGAAGTTTGCTCTGGGGCCAGAGTCAATCGAACTGAGCCACTCCTTTGTGTTGACCCATTGCCTCCAAGTTGCCCAATTTTTCGCTTCAAAAAAGTTCAAATCAGAGGTGGCTCCAAACCGGACACCGGCGTTTTAGAGTGCACGTCAAATTCACTCTGAGTCTGAAATTAGGTAATTGCTATCGCTCCACGACGGCCAGTACAGAGTAACAATAAGCCTCGTGTGTGCTTCCATTAGTTTTGATTGGTATGCGGTGCTTTATTGGCGAGAGGCGAGCCGCTGTTTAGCTGCGACAAGAAGTTGATTTTTCGAAAGTCGTAAAACTCAAGTCGCAGTGCGAAGCAACACGTCAAAAACTCACCTGCTTGATATGGCGCTTCTGGTCATCGCAGAGCCATGAAATTTTGGCTCGGAGTATAACACATCGTAGTCTCACTGTGACATATGTTTTCTAATCAAAATACCAAGAGAGAAAGTGAATATTGAGTCCGTTCCGGTTTGCAACCGGTGTCCTATTTGAAACCGTCCCCTCTACAGTCCAAGGATCTTTGGCAGCCTATGTTGCTTGCCGTCTCATTGCGCTATTCAAAAGATTGCAGCTGACTCGGACTCAGGGGATGCTGGAAATCAAAGAGATTTGGAAACCGATGCTGAAGTCTCTGCCACCTAGGCATGGTGTTCTGAGCAGGAGCTATCTGTCATGAGCTCGTTTGCTGAAGTTCCTCAAGTAAACTGCGATCAAATTTGAAGGTCAGAATTTTGAAATATTTGCCGAATTCGAAGTCCAGTGTACTGGTCAGATATGCATGCAGATCATAATGCACATCTCTGATCTGTTAGTGTATGTTGAGTACAAAGCCAGGCACCTAAAGGATGGAGAATGCTGTCGAATATGAATCCAGAATACCAGTAGTCAACAATTGTGCAATTTAGAGCAACTACTCAGTATCAGAAATTGCGCAGCCGATTGTTTCTTGAATTTCATGCCTAAATACACCGGTACACAGCATGCACTCGGCTGTTTAGTGAATGCTTCAGACTATTTTGATAGCTGGCTTATCTTGCCAGTGAGTGTCTAAATCAGAGAATGAGCAGAATTGCATTCTCCATCAATATGAGTCTTATAATGACTTCACCTGTGCCGCGTACGTACGTACACGTGCAGCCAGTGATGATTCACCCTGGGATGCGCCGAGCACAGTGAGCCAACCGCTGCCACTGCACCAGCTGCTATTATTGCTGATGCAGTTGCTGTGGTTGCTACTCCAGCTACTCGGCATCCTCACTGTCCATCACATGGTTTTGTCTTGAAGTAGGTAGGGCTGCTGGAGAATTCAACCTTTACGAGTCGCCCAAGAAAAAGAAAGACTCATTCCGGACCGCGAAGTCGCACACGATGCAAGCGGCGTATAAAACGAGTTGCTGTGCTCTAGTTTAGGTTGCCCTAGAACACCAGGACCTCATCACCCTGTGCCCTCCCCTGCCATCGCGCATTGGCTGAAGGAGGTCATGCGGAAGGCGGGCATTGACCCGGCCTTTCTGGCACACTCCACCCGTGGTGCGTCTACGTCGGCCACTGCATCCAGGGGCGTGTCAACTGATATGATCCGCGCCATGGCTGACTGGCGACAGGAATCCACATTCCGTCGATTTTACCACCGACCGTCTTCGGATGTGCCTGCCCGGGCTCAGTTTGGCTCTGCTGTGCTTCAGCTTTCCCATTCGGCATGAACACTGGCCGTGCGCTTTGTTTGCTACGGCTTATATCCACCTTTTCACGTTATTCTTTTTTTTCAATTTGGATTCCGTTATCCGTGTTTGTTCTCTTTTACCTCACGCTTTTATGGCGTCACGTTATTTAAAGTTGGCGCTTTCAACAATACACTGTTATATCCGAGCTCGAAGCTCCGATACGCAATTCACCATTTTCGTTAGCAATGGTACATTGCGACATGAAGTGGGGGTTGTGTGAGGAGCCTCAGGAGCGTAGAGCGAGATAATTATAGCAGTGTCCCTACCCTCCCCCCCCCGCTTATTTCTCGCTTGTTCCCGGCTATTCCGAGGAACATTGGCCCGGTGCCGCCCTTGTTAGTCTTTGGTCTTCCTTTCCCGGTTGGATGGGTTTTCCTTTTGAGTTTTTCTTTTTCAGCATACAAATCTACACAGTCGAAAGGGGAAGGGGGGGGGGGGCTTCTCGGTAGTACCTTGTGTACTGCACTTGCCTGGGAACCGCGAGGACCGTTGTGGGTTCGAGGCCTGTGCGGCACGCGCAGTTCACCATTTCATTAACAATGGTACATTGCGACATGAAGTGGGGGTGGTGTGAGGAGCATAGAGCGAGATATAACAGTGCATTGCCTTCAAATCCATCAAGGTGACATTAAACCCAACCGATTTTTAAAGTCTTTTTTACACAAAACACATGAAAATTTCGACTCACATTCTTTACGGATGCCTTTGGAAAATCGCGAAACCGACCACAGCGGCAGCTACAACGAGAAAAGCAACATGAAAAACACAGCGGTCGCAGCATTCTAGCAGGCACAGCAGACAGAGTATAAGCGATGAACGTCCGGGCACCGACCACCTGACTCTACTCATCGTCGGCAGAGCACGACGGGTGCCGGAAGTTCACCAGCGCATGCAGTCATGGTTGTGTGGCCTCACTGGGACAACCAGCATTCTCGAGAAAACGGTCAGCCATCGGACAGGTGGGTACACACGCACATGAGTACACTGAGCAGTGATAGCACCAACAATGTACTTCACCAACATTCCAACTTTCATCTTGCCAGCAGCACACCCCAAGAGCATCTTTAGCAATCATGGCTGCATGCAACATCACAAGATCACAAATCGAACACGGTTTATGAAGATTTTGGTTCTTACGTTCACGCCATTTTCTAAACCTCCCTCTCTCCCTGCAGCTGCCAGGGAGAGCAAGATCCTGGTGATGAAAATAATGTACACACGCAGCTAGAATAAAATGGAGGAAAATAGACGGAAAATAAACAATTTGTGAAGGGGAAGAGCAGATGATTTATAAATAAAAGTGGTAAAATTACTGGTTAGGTTGTCAAGGCAGAACAAGCTGGTGAATAGGCATTTCGAATGGTTGCCATAGAGATAAACTGGAGCACAAGAGCATGGAGTAACACAGTTGTCAGTTCTGCATTACGCTTATGAAGTGAAGTGCATACAGCAATATGTTCTCCACTGGACGATGGGGAGGCATGCTTTGAGAGGAAGAACAGAACGAGTATCGTAAAAGGAAACAGGGCAAAACAATTTGCCGAATCCTGCTCCGCTGACGCGCCGAAACAGGGACTGAGGCAGAGGTAAATGGATGCATGATGGCTCATAGTACGGTTGTGACAGTGTTTTTAATTCTGATAGGTGTTAGGTCAGAGGAGTGACAACAACAACAGGGACAGCAACAACGACGACAACAACAACAGGAGGAGGAGAAAAGCAAGAGGGTAGATACAGCTAGACTGGCGTCTCTGCAGCCAGTATGTTTCGCCCGCGTTCACGCGGATTGGTTAGTCGAGCAGGAATGCTACCAGAAGAAGCTGGACACAGTTTGGACACAACACTACAGGGAAAGATTGGACACCAGCGGCGCATACAGATTGCATCAGGCGATACTGCTAACTGTTGCACTCTGCTGCCCTCAGACCTTCTCGACATAGTTGTAGGGAAAGAGTCCAGTCTTGCCATTCAGCTTGCCCTTCCACCAGCCACTGTCACCTGTGCATGGGGTAAAGGAGATGTTCGACAGAAGATCATGATGAGATTCCTACTGGCAGCCATTCAAAGGGTCCTGAAATAGATGGAAGCAAAGAACTTTTGCTTCTCTGTAAATCAGTCACCACAACAATGATAGCACCCCCCCCCCCCCCCCCCGCAACATTCTTCTTGCTGTCGCCCGCTACCTCTCCATGTCTCACTTTTCTTCATGCTAAAATACGGTAGGAACTGCAAGCTGCAAATGCCTCATCCACACAATTACACATACACGTCTCAACAGTACCTATGTTAGCACCAGCCAGCCAAGAGCACACGCAAAGTTCAGAGCAGCAGCGCAGTTGGGTTGCATCAGCAATGAAAATGGCAACTCACCACTCACACACCAGCAAACATAATGCGGACTTACGCTCTTCCAGCAGCTCAATCATATCATTCTCGTTCAAGGCCAGTTCCTCGGCATCCTGTGGCTCATATGCATAGATGGCCTTTACCATGACCTTGGGCTTGCTTGCTGGAGAAGGCTTTGGCGGGGGTCGGCCGGGCTTCGCTCTGCCTGTCGACGAGGACCTGTGCAAATGCACACGTTAGCACACAGATGTGCGCATACACGGGCACACACGAACACACACACACACACACACACACACACACGAACACACACACACACACTCGCACGCACGCACACACACACACACACTGTCAGTCAATAAAAAGGGAAACAAAAATGGTTACAGAGAAGCAGTTAGACTTGGTGGGACAGTAACATATGCCGCTACCTCACGCCTTTGGTGCAACGTTCCTGACGTGGCGGGACTTCTCTTGATCCAGGGATGCAGGGATTCGAGGAAGCATGTTCAGTGCACAACTTGTAGAACATGCATATCAAATCAATTCACGTGACGCCACTGTCAAAGTGCATGCCTGGAGAGAGCTAGCAGAGTGACATCCAAACAGAATGCGAATGGAGGCAATGTTTTCGCCTGTTTCACAACTTCAGGGCTCACGGTTGGGATGCCAAAACTCGATTACGTGGGAGGACATCTTGAAATCTGATCACCATAGAAATGAGCTCGCGTTACTCGAGCTATGCACGCGGCAGTGCACGCCTACGCGGAGCACAGCAAGGACTCGAGAGAGTTGCAGTGACCTGGTGACTGACAAGAAGAAGTAGAACTGAGGAAGACGGAGACCGGCTGCGGACTTGTGTTTCACTTTGGTTGCCGTACGTGCTACCTTATTCCATTTTGAAGAGGTATGTGTCGCACTGAAAATGCGCTGCGAGATGGCTAGAGTTTGTGTACAAGGGGTGGTCGAGCTGTGGTCGCGTGACAGTCGACCTGTCGTCGCGTGAGCTGGCCAGAAACAAAATGGCGCCCACGTATTTGTACACAACCGTGAGCCCTGAACTTGATTTTAATGAGTATCTTCACGAGCCAGTGATTTATGTATAGCAGGCACAGGGCAACTTACTGTTGCTGCTGGAAGATGTCGGCATCATCCACCTCTGCTACGGTTGTCTTGGCCAGCCCCTTGGCCCCAGACTTGTGGATGTTGGGCTTGGCACCACTTGGTGATGGGCGCGAGGACGACAGTGACTTGTTGACCGACTGGCGCTTGCGCTGTGATGAGTTGCGGCTACTCTTTCCTGACATGCTAGTCACGGATGCGCGGTTAGAAGACGCCAATGGTTTGTTGCTGGGCCCTATGTGTTGGCAATAGACAGACGGTGAGAACACGACAGAACAACAATGAGAAATGGCACGCTGTTGTGACACGCACATACTTCCTTTCAAAAGTGACGGGCACAGTGCAAGAAGAGAAACCTCGAAATAGAAATTTGAGCAGTGAGCCAAGATGAACTTTCCCCAAGGGTATCGACAATCGGGGATGGGTTACTAGTACAGTCGTCCCTCTTTAATCCGGCACCTTTTGCTACGGTGTTTTCTGCTGGATTAACGTGGGTGCTGGATTAAGAAATCCTGCCCTCTGACCCGACCCTACCCAATTGCATGCATGTATCATACGTCAAAACGCAGGGTTTTTCGGTGTCGACCCAAGTATTTGGTGCACGGCTTTATATTCTCAATTGTTCTCCAGGAATATAAACAGTGATAAAGTGATAAAGAAAACCGAGAACATGTTCACATGTACTCTTGCACACACACGCACACACCTGAAAATTGGCAGGACACTACTCCTTGCTAAAATAAGAAAGTATGGTTGACTGCTTAGCCGTTGTCTCCTGGACAACATTGACCAGACTGGCCTAGCCTGGCCTGGCAAGGAGTGCACCTATACGCGATATACGACTGCCGGATTATGAAATCAAACTACGTGCAGTTTGAGCGATTCGTTTCAAAAAGTCACTGCCGGAGGCGGAATTCAGTGTGATGTAGGAATTGAACGAAAAAAATCGGTTTCGTCAGAAAGTGCGCCGGTTGGCAAGGGTTCCGGATAAACAAGTGCCGGATTAGAGAGGGACGACTGTAATGGCGAAGTGAATCTTTTGTAATGACACGGTTAGTAATCAAGAGCGACTGATAAGAGAGAAAATACGGAACTAAATAAACCGTTTGACTCAGCCTGAATATGCGCCATAGGCCAAAGTGCGATTGCACTATTGATCAAAACCAACATCATATCGTATCCAATCAACAGCGCGTTCCACACAAGCTGGCGTGGGACTATTTTTCACGTCAGCTCCTACTCCGCGTTACATTAGCTGCAATTGGGCATATGATTTCTTTCGCTGATCATAACTAACCGGGAGGGAGAGAGAGAGCGAGAGAGAGAGAGAGCGAGAGAGAGACCGACAGAGAAAGAGAGAGAGAGAGAGAGAGAGAGAGTGAGAGGGAGAAAAGACGCTCCAGCAGTACCTAATTCTAAAGGTACTAGCATTGTAATTGTCCCTGACCAACTACTGTAGATTCTACTAGTACTCACTAGTGTTGGATGGCAAGCCATCGCCAATACTGATTGCCAGGCCCTTGCCAGATGGCTTGAGAAGTGCTGCATCACCGGTACCTCTCTGGAATATCACTGAGCGGGTGCCGCCACCGCCCCAGCCTTCCTTCTTGATCGTCATGGAGATGCTGGAGTGAGAGTTTAACGCACACAACAATAGCACAACAAAGTGAGGGCCTCTACCACCAGCAGCAGCAGCAGTTATGTTTGAAATGCCAGAGTCTGATAGGTGAAATTTACTCCTAGGTGAAAATCGCGTAACTCCTCGACAGAAGATTCACCAATTTCATCTCTAAAGATTGAATTTTAAACGTTGAAATATTCGAAAGAGTGAAGGTCTAGACTTTTTGAAACACACTGTGTACACAGAGGTGAAGACCAAGCAGGGAACCGGCAAAGTGGCCAACACATATCGAACATGTCCACGCCTAAAGAGACCGCGGCTTACTTGTTGGAGAAGTTGATCGTCGGTTTGGAGCCTTCCAGCGCCTCGTACTTCTTGGTGTAGACGGTCAGGAACTCGGTCTTGAAGAGACACTCGATCAGCGTGTCATACTCTCCTTTTACATGGAAGATCATGAAATCATCCTGAAGCTCACTGCACTCACACAACACACGCCAGCAACAAGAACACCGGAGTGTGAGCAACCGCAGCACTGTACGTCTCTACAGCTAACTGTTACAAGCCCATGTCTGGGTATATGAACTCAAGACAGGGGAGAGAGATTCAAAAGGAATCTTGGAGAGATGACTCAATTGGCTATTGAACCGCCGACACCCCCTGAGATCCTCAAACTATGGGTGAACTTGGAAATGATCCCACTTATGGGTTCATCACACCTCAGTAAGTGGGTGAGGAAAAGGTGCAGAAAAAGGATTGACGGCATCAAGGTATCCGTCCCGGGATCCAACTGCAGTTACCCCTGCCCCAGGGAATGCAATACTTGATACTAGTGTGGGTGGCTAAATCAACAACACACAGACACACACACACAGACAGACACACACACACACACACTACGCAAGTTCTAATCTCGTATACTGGTTTGCACACTCGATTGTTGTCATCAGCAAGCCTACCTGACAGAGATTGACTGAAGGTTGTTGAGCGCAAGCTGGCGCTTCACGACCTCCACAATCTTGCCCTTCTCCGGCCCCTTCTTGATCTACACAATAGGTCACGAGCCACGCAAAACACACAAACAGATGCATGCACACAGATAGTTTGCCCCAGCAACCAGATGAGAAATCTAGTCCAACACTACAATCAAATGAGAGAATAGAATCTGTACAGGGCAAACAACTAAAGACTTGACTTACCGTAAAAGCCCCTGTAAACGCCCACTCGAAATAACGCCGATCCTCCGCGTACACGGCGCCCAGTCAGGGGAAGTCAACACTTTTGTTTCAAAATAGCGCCCATACCCATGTATACGCCCAGGTATGCCGGCAACACCAGTACATGTACAGGTACCGACACCCAATGATTACTGTTGATGTATATGTTTCAGGACTGCTTTTCCCAAACAGAAGCGGGGATACTCTATTTTATAGTGTGCATGCTCAGCTAAAAAATTAAATGGATTAAGTTGCGAGTAGTATTGAGCCAGGGGAGAATTTCAACATTAGTAATCCAAGTATACACCCGGTTCCAAAATAACTCCCGTGCCCTTTTATACGCCCAGGAAATCGAGGCTGCTATTCTATACGCCCGGGGCCTATACACGGGCTTTTACGGTATCCTGGAAGCACAAACCAGCATGCTGTTCATTTGTTTGAGGGAAACAGGCAAACGGGAAAAGTCTGAAGAAAAAAAATTAACTGTCGCCACCAGGACTCGAATCAGGGACCCTCGCTTGCAGCTAGCGATGCTCTAACTACAGAGCTATGGTGCAGCATACTCTTCGTGACGCAAAGGCTGGAGAAAAATAGGTGAAAACAAGCCTTACCTTCTCTGCGCCAATCAAGTAGATCTCCTTTGCGGTCATGATCAAATAACGGTCCGCAGCCTGTAAACAAGAACACAACACACAATCGTCAGAATTATTCTTTTTGCACAGACATCTCACATGCCACACTGCGGCACATAGAGCTGGTACAACGAAGGAAAGAGGATCACGTGGGACGGCAAGGATTGAGAGACGAGTGGATTGATCGTTTCTTCTCATAACCGGTGAAAAATGTTGGTCCTCACTTGCAGTCAGACCACTACTTTGTGAATAATCATCGAAGAAACAATCTTTCATCTACCAGGACACCCACCCACCCAGACAGAGACACACCGAGACACACCGAGACATACACCCCCCCCCCCCCCTAAACACAGAGCACAGACTCAACAGATCAGACGGTGAGAGAATAGAAAGTAAGACAAGAGAGAGAGAGAAAGAGAGAGAGAGAGAGAGAGAGAGAGAGAGAGACGCACACATGGCAAAAAGGAGCAACAATGGATCCTCCTGTATCACCGCATTGCACTACACAAGAATTGGCTTTTAGCGTGGCACACGCAGACATACCTTGAACCGCCTGTCATACTTGGTGCAAATTGCGGCAAACTCCACCTTCATCCTCTTGGCTATATATAGAAGACAGAGACACGGCAAAACGAAGCATTTTCTTCGAAACTGATAGCTACTACAAGTGTTGATGAGAATGATATGATACGTGACTTAGGAACAACGAGTAAATCAGAAGAGGATCAATAAAGATGCAAGAATGACAAAAACTGCAGTCATGCTAGGAGAACCAAACCCTCGTGCATGCACACACATACACATACGCATGCACGCACACACACATATGTTCAGCTTATTGGCATGAAACTGGAAAAGGACACTGCAACCTCACTGCTGTTACACTGAACGTGATCCTGGACATTTGGTTCCGGGTGCGAGGTCCCCCGGGCAAAGGCCCTCACATCGCGTTCAGACGTGATTGAATGTGTTGGAGATGTGTTGTGATCTTGCCCACTGTCTAGCCCCTGCCCTGTCCTGGAGGCTTTACACCCATCTTTACATTTGTTTACGCGAGTAAGCGGGATGAAGAACGATCTGTGAAAATTTGGTGTTCGTAGCTTTAATGAAAGTTGTTTTTCGGTAGCCTTCATCTTCGTCGTCCTCCATTGCTTTCTTCTTCGCGTGTGTCCTTTTCTCAGCCCCTCTCTTGTTGTGAAGATGAATTTTGGCTCGCCTGTTTGCAATTTTGGAGAGTTTTCTGTGATTATTAGAGCCTGTTGTTGGAACAATTTGTGCTGAGCGGTACACTGTTCGCGAGAGCGGAGCCTCTCAAGTTCGTACAATGGCCACCCTCGCTGGCCATGCGTTGGTGCTGGAGAAAGTGTGCAGGATAGGTGGATTGAAGTTCGCCAGACACGGAAAGTCTACCAGCTATGTAGCCAGGAACTATGTTGGTGAGATCCAATCTTGTTTTGGTGTAGACATCCTGAGTGACGAAGAAAATATTCGTCCAAAGCAAATCTGTGAGCTGTGTTATAAAGTCATTCAGCGCTACATGAATACCAGTACTGGTACCTTAACTCCTTGAGCACAGGGCTGTTTGTCAGTGCACCACGTAAGAAAATGGCCTTTTTTGAAAATTTTCAAACCTTGGCTATGTCAAGTCGTGAAATCTTTGGGAGCCACAACCACAGGCAGTGGTAGGTAGGACCCAGACCAGCACTCGACAACAAGAACAAAAGCGAAAATCGGCCAAAGCACGCCAGGCCGAGTGGCATACTCAGGTCAATTTTTGAGAAATTGCACCAATTGCGTGGTATGCGCGTAAAAAAGAGCTGTGCTGATTGCTGTACATCAACAGCTAGGAACTGAACCCGGGGCCTCACGTACACAAGGCATAGACACTACCAATCGGCTAACAGACCTGAAAACTGAAGGTGCGGGCCATTAGTTTGTATGTACGTCATCCGTGGGGCACTGTGTGGGTGTTATGACGTACTAGTACGTCATGGTATATACAGAAGCGTTGCTTGGTAGTTTAACATGTTTTTCGATTTTGACAGCATGTTACAAGGCGAGGACGCGTAGTGCTCCTGACCCGTAGAGTAACGATGGTCCGAACCTGGGTTTTCCCAATACGGTTCAAATGGTCGCAAGACCGGGACTCTGCCAACCGGGTTATGGTTGTAGTCAGGAGCACTACGCGTCCTCGCCTTGTAACATGCTGTCAAAATCGAAAAACATGTTAGTACGTCATCCGCGCTCAAGGGGTTAATAGTGTCTGGAGGCCATGGCAATGTGAAAGTGTGGGAGAAACATGAGGACAGCAACTGCGTTGTTTGCACTGAAGCTCGTGCTGTAGGTAGGCCGGCAAAGAAAAAATATCAAAAAAATCAATCCCTGCAAGCCCCACGCTTCAGTCCTGTATACGACCGTGCACAGTAAGGGCACGTTTGGTTGGTACGAACTAGAACAGGATTCACCAGAACAGCGCGTTTGGTTGGGACTGCACCTGTTCTGGGTCGGCCAGAACATGTTCTGCTTGCTCCGGCTTCGAGGCCGGAGCAGACCGAGCAGTTTCACTTCTTCACAGTGAAACCTGGCGGGAACATCGATTTTGGTCCCAAATGATCACGTGCATACGCTTTTGGGTTGGACTCGTTGTACCGTACAAAGTGACCATGGTGACCCATACACATTTTGAAGAATGCACCAAGTTTGGCACATTTTTCCACAAAAATGTGCTCTGTTTCTGGAGTACCGTTTGGTTGGCATGAGGCTGCTCCATGTGCACCAGCTGTTCGATCCTGTTCTAGATCGTACCAACCAAACGCACCCTAAGTGAGAAAGAAGCTTGTCTTAGTACAGAGAAAGCATGTGGTATTGACACAGACTCTTTCTCCGAATTCCAGATGAATGGCACACCAAGCTACACAACCAGCCACACGCTTCATGGATGGTGTTGGTCACGTTGAATGCAGCATTTGTCGCCTTGTACTGGACAATGCCATCGAAACACCGTGTTGTAGAAATTTGTTTTGTTGTGCATGTATTTGGCATTGGCTATCGTGCTCCACGCTTTGTCCTATGTGCCGTGAGCCACTTCTTGCCTTAACCGTCGTGAAGCTGTCTGCATTTGTGTTCAGTACATTAGCCGCACTAGAATTACACCGTGATCATTACGTGTCGTCAACAGAAGGTTGCCCGACAGTCGTGCCCTTGTACCAACTGCGGAAGCACACTGAAGCGTGTCCACACTCACCATCCACCCACACACACACCCAACTCCCTAGACTTGTCAGGCTTTCGTCCAGTGGCCAGGATGTTTTGGACGGGTCCCCTGCAATGTTGGCAAGAGACCTTGGTGACCGACTGTTGTGCCATTTGGTCTCATGCAAGGAAACTGATGGAGTCCTCGAGGTGAAAACCAACCAGAGAGGCCGCCCTCAGACGTACATAAGAACTGTGCATGGGACCGTGCCATCCGACGATGCAAGTCGGCGCACTCTTAACCGGCGGTTTAGTGCGGTTGAAAAAGCCACTGGACTTGTCTGGGGATCCGCAGAAAGTGCTGAGTCGTTTGCTGCAGCCAGCCTGCGGTCGATGCAAAAGGAAAAGAGAGACAAGCTACTCGCAGATGATGGCCTGACCTGTTGCAGAGAGTGGTGTTGCCTTGAAGGCTGACCTTCACCTGACCTAGTACACCCTCCGCAAGCTAAGACTAAGACTATGGCATAAGGATTTTGGTGTTTGTCTGGAATCAGAGAGAACAATAAGAAAGCAAATAGAAAAGGAGCTGCCCTTTGCGATTGTAGCCGAGAGCGTTCCCATGATCAATAAGCCTGGGCAGGCTGAGCTCTCGCCGTTGGTGTCCGTGCCCGACCTGCATGCCCTGGTCATGCACCACCTTGATGACCACCACAAGGTCGGCAATCTTGTCTGGCATGACGGTGGTATTGCCAGCGACCTTGTCGTGGTTAAGATCGGCGGGGATCATGGAGGTGGCAGCTTTAAGCTATGCTTCCAGATTGCCAATTGTCCGAATCCGAATTCCCTGAAGAACACAGTGCCGGTTGTGTTCTTCGAGGCAAAGGATTCCCCCGCCAATCTCGCAACAGCCTTGAAACCGTATTTTGCGCAGATCGAGTCCCTGCGCCATGCCACGTGGAATGAGCACAGCATCAAAGTGGTTCTTTTCGGCGACTACGAGTTCCAGAGATGTCTTTGGCCTTTCTGGCAGTAGTGGTGTCAGACCCTGTCTCCATTGCCTCGAGACAAAGAAACTTTTCCAGGTGGCACCTACGGAAAGGGCAACACGGGCAGAGAGCAGGAATCTTGCCAGGCTGGCCACTGACCATGCTGCATTCGTGGAAAGTGGTGGCAACATCTAACACGCACGGAAATATAACAACACCATTCGGCCCGCCCTCATCCCCATTCCCTTGGAAGACGCATGCATACCCGCACTGCACCTAGATCTGGGCATCTTTCCTCTCCTCCTCGAGTGCATGCTCACAGACACAGACCAAGTAGATATCAAGTTGGCTACATACATAGCCAAAGAAAACACAGAGCAAGCACATAGTCAGACGTCATTCACCGACTTGGTGGACACGCACAAGGAATTGGTTGTGTGCAATGCAGAAATCAACAACATGCAGCAAGAAAAGGCCACTGTCCACAATCAGCTTTGCTGGGCAGCCATGGACTTGCCCCAAGACGTGGAAACCCCACAACACATGCAACTACGTGCAGTGGTGGGCGGGGTGCAGTTGAAAATGCAGGACTTGCACAAAACCAGTGAGGAATTGGAAAGGAAGAAAGTAGAGTTGGAAGCGAAGCTTACGAAGCCAGTCAAAGACGGTCCATGTAGTAGGGCATATGAGCCAGTCCTGCAGGGACCCAACATCTGTCGTTAGCACTACCACAGCGGAGCCTTTATCGGTAATCATGTGCATCATGCTCTGAAGCCGTCTGCTGCAAAGCAGATCACTGCAGCACCTTGTCGCCACCTTGAGCAGCACCATCATGATGCTGTAGGCCCCAAGGGTTCAGCTACCGTTGTGGCAGAACGGTATGCTGCACTCTTTACAGAATTTGCTTCCTGTCGAAATATGTATAGCGCCAGCAGCAAGTTGTCAGACTTGGAGATTGAGCTCCTTGAATCCAGCATCGTAACATTCCTGTCCTCCGTGAGACGTGAGCTCGTCAGTCGTGGCCTTGCCCGTATAACGCCCAAGTTGCATCTGCTGGAAGAGCATGTCGTTCCACAGATTAGGCACTTCAGTACAGGCCTGGGCCTCTACGGGGAGCAGGGCGGAGAAGGCATTCACGCCGAATTCAACACCCTCAACAAACGTCACTCCAGCGTCGTGTCTCCACTGGATCGCATGCACACCAGCATCAAGCAGCACTTCCTGACCACTCTACCATCCAGCATCGCTGTTACTCCAGTTGCTCCGACCCACAAACGAAGTAAAACGGCTTGACTTCCAGCCAACTCGTTCGTCGCTTTCTGGCTGATGTAAGTGCTCTATTTCCGCCTTTCTCTGTCAATCTGTTCTTTTATTGTTTTAACTGGAAAATGCTCTCACTGCACTCAGAGAGCGGGCTTGGGGTTCCATCATTGCACATTATGATGGAGTGGGACTTTCAACGTGCCAAACGTGTTGAGAGTTTGATATTCTCCCCCAAATATCTTCCAAATATCTTCTTCAACTAGAAAGTGCAAGAACTACAAAAACAACAAACGAGACGAAACTTTTTGTTTATTTTTGGCCAGAGTACACATTTTTGCTGTTGTCAAGAGCGTAACCATGCACGACGCCATCTTACCAAACGCCCACGCGGTAACAGCAGTGAACCTGCCCGTGATAGCAACGCTACAAGTTATTATGCATTCACTAGTAATGAGCAAGAAAGCTGAGCAAACAGAACTGTCACTTACGCAGGAACTGTCGCAGTTGCGGCTTGTCCTCCATGCCGAGATAATCTCCAACAAAGTTCCTGTTGATCGTGCCACGCCGACGCTGTTTCCTGTTGAAGACGACGGCCGAAGCTGCAAGCAAACGCAACCGATAACAGTGAAGCACATGCGTGACTGTGACACTCGTGTGCAGACAGTGTTGTACTGTAAAAGCAGAAAATTCCTGTGGTGTAATATTTTCGGTATTCTCCAAAATTGGCGGTTCGGTGGAGGGAAATTTGCGGTGCGTTTCATTTTCGGTAAAAATTTCGGCACCAAAGTTACCGAAAATAAAACACCACCGAAAATTTCTGCTTTTACAGCAGAGTCATCAGCATGGTGCAGTGCAAAGTGGTGATAGGTACTTTACAACCTTGAGTGCACAGCAGAGATACAACACATGAAAGCGATGTTGAAATCTCGTCCATGCGTATTTCAATACTTTGAATGAAGTGAAGATGGTCTGATGTCACCACTCTAATGGTGCCATAAAAAAGTCACGAAACATGCCCGTTGTAGTATCAACAGTGTGCATGCTTCTAGGTAGAACCTCTCCATACAATCTACATGTAAGCAAGACATACAGCTGCAAGAGGAACCGCAGCTGGAGCCAAAGTCACAGCAGCGCAGTCGACAATCCAAAAGTCCCCCACACACCAACAGCAGAAACAGCAACATACACAGCGGCCATACCCAATACATCAGAAACATTAGCCATCGCCAACATATCAGCCATAGCCAACACATTAGCCATAGCCAACACATCAGCCATAGCCAACACCGCAACAGATACAGCCAACACATCAGCAGATACAGCAGCAGACAAAGCAACAGCAGCATTGGTAGCAACGCCATACCTTCCTCTCTTCGCTGCAGAGCATCCTTTCTGCCCTTGTAGGCACGGTATGACTTCTGGATGACGCGGGCAAAGCCGTCAAACTTCCTGTCACGAGATTCTTCCAAAAGGAAGAGCTGGAAATGAAGCAAAGTCAACAAATGACTAGATATCAGAACACAATGCTTGTGATTGATGAAGGTGAACAACTTATAGCGATGGAGCCTGATCAATTTCGGCATCCTGAAATAACTAGAGTGGATGTGTGTGCATGTATGTACCGGTGTTGGAGATGGAGAGTCAGTGCCGTGGCATGTACTTTGTCAGCCATTCACATGATCATGTTGTCCGGACCATGTTGCCCGGACCATGTTGCCCGGACAGCTTTTCAGCACAGAACATGATCTAGATTATTCATACAATACTGTGAGGTTCTGAAGCACTGGAGTGCTAGCCTCGCAGCCTAAACCGTTCTTATTTTCACGTACAGCAGTCTATGCACAATGGACTGGAGTCACTGCGTGTACATTGGTATGCTGGTCCGGGCAAACATTCTAACCAGTTTGTTCTTCAGCGCGTGATAGTACTGTTAGGTTACTAATGGATTCATACTCCCCAGACACAACGGATAACGGGCAGGTGGGACGGCATTTATTAGGGAGACGAAGAGAAAGACGAACCACAATGACTACATTATAGAAAAGAGAGCGAGATCGAGTGAGGGCGGCAATATAACGGGCCTGGGTAGCCATGGCAAATATGGGTGGCAAGTAGCTACCCAGGCCAACGGAAAAAAGGTGACAAAAGGTGAATATGTGTCAGAACCAGCTGTTCTCTTGTTGTCTTACCGATTCGGGGTTTTTGATGAACAGCTTGCTAGTACCAACTTGCCATTGGTCCGGTTCCATGTGCACGGCACTGAGAATGTGCTTACAACCGTCGATAGCACCACCGTGCCACTTTGGCCAGGTCTCCGGTGTCAGAATGGCAAACCTGTCAATGCACCAAACAATCAATACAATGTGCAATGCACACTCAATGGCCAACACATGCAACTCACATGCGTCAAGAAATACGTGCCCCCCCCCCCCCCACACACACACAGAGTGGGAACACTTGAGTTCCAACACACGCAGTCTCATACATCGAGAAGCACGTACCAACCTTCAGCAATGAAACATATACTAACAATCCTGAAACTCCAGAACAGTTCAAACATGTTGAACTCTTCCTTGACAGTCTGCATACAGAAGAGCTGCTCTAGCTGTGCACGCGCACACACGTGTGTGTGTGTTGTTGGTGGGGATGGTGGTGTGTGTATATGTGTGTGCGTTGGGCGTGGGGGGGGGGAGGGGGTAACTTACCGCTGAACGAACTTCTCAAAGGGTCGGCGATACGCGAATCCAGCACGACGTACTCGAATGTTCTCCTTGAGACCAAGGTACTCAACCTGATGCTTCATCCTGTACACAACCAACATATACACCAGCAATCAGCAATACAAGTAGTTAGATAACAGGCCCGCCGGAACCGGTCCGGTTGGTCAGGTTATCACCGGACCAACTTTTCGGCCACCAACAAATGTTTCCTACTGTGGAGGACATGTGTACCCGCCATATCAGATTATCATACGCAAAGTATAAAGCGTCATGAAGGGTTATGAAACTAGCGGACCAATCAAAAACTGCTTCCGGCGGTCATGGATAACATGCCAAAAGCAGAGCTGTAGCTCTAAAGCGGTGTTCATACGCGACTCCATGTAATATTATCGATGATGTTTATGTCCTCGTCAACAACAATGTCACGAATTCGTTCGTAAGTCCGTATCAGATGTTGTGAACCGTCTTCTATGATATGTTTTATTATATTTACTTCATCACCTCTTTCGACTGACAAAACAATTCCGCAAAACTTAGCGAATTGCAAATCTTTGTCGGTAACATCCGAAGAATAAAGTCTTTCCGCATCCGAATATTTTTCATCACCCTCTTTCTTCGGCGCTTTCGGATATGTCAGCGCGTATCGCACTATCGGCGAGTAGTTTGTGAAATGTTGTCCGATACCGCTCGATATCTTGATATTTTTTATCGATAACTTGCAACCGGGTTTGAGACCATTGCATATTATCGATGTCGGAGAAAACATCGTCCTATTTTCCACAACATGTCCTATCCACTTCAGTGATCATGTTGTTACTAACATCGGACGCTGGGTTCTGTTCTCGACATCCAGTGCGAAAGATATTTTGTTATACCCTTCTTTCAGTGACATAATATTCAGTGGTATTGTGCTTCGAATATTGTGACAAATCATCTCGGGAAGTAAATGATTATCCGAGCAAACGATATTCTCGGAGTTATTTATCAGGTCCATGCAATATCCCGTGCTTCTATCACATATCCCCCAGCAGGTTGCATAGAAAAACGGTTGCGGAAATCCATCGATATCGAACTCCAATGTCATTGGACAGACCGCATTTATTTCGTTTATTGTTAGTGGAGTGTCCTTGGAAAACATGGAGTTGATAGTTTCCTGAACATTTCCACCCGGATCTTCCACAATCTCGTGTCTGGAGTATAGAATTTTTCGAGACATGTCGTATACGATTCTAACAGCAATGATTCAAAAATCACCAACGTTTGATTATCATTAATAAAAAATAAGCCAAAGGGATTACAGCTATCAATCATCATGGATGGAAGACTGGACATCACTGATGTTCTGCCAGAATACGTCGATTATGCGCATGTCTTGCGGATCTTGAGACATGGAACACCTTTACCATATCTTGTCCGATTCGTTCGTTCTGGTCATGGAGATCTACTCGATGTTATCGGCCAGACGATTAAGCACCTCATCCCACTGATAGGCCTGGCGAGTGACAAAAGTCTGAATTCATACGATAGGGAAATGTTGATGCGACTTATTGTCCTAAACACTATTGCACTGCACTGTGTTATTGACAAGAAAATGCATCTCGACCCCGAAGACTTTCCACTCAAGCTTCGCAAGGCGTTTGCTACAATCGAATCGTTTGCCATGTTCTGCTTACAATATTCCGACTCCCACGACGTTTTCATAAACAGTGGTATGCGGAGAGTGACTAAAGAACATGCGGAGCAGTTCCTAGCGTATCGCGAAAGAGTGCGGTTCATCGGTCATCCGAATACCCTGGATTCGTCTCTAGGACGTGTGATAGACGACAAACGCAATCCGTGCCCACTTCCGGGAACATTGTCGAAAGACGTGAGGATACTGCGTACGTCGGTAAGGAAACTCGTGACGAAGTATGTGAGTACGATGAACCAAACCTACAGTTTGTATACGAATCAGTGTCCAATGACAAATCTTAAGGCGTTCATCATGAATGCCTACTCGAGTACGTCGGAATTTGCTGATCATGTTTGGACTTTGTCTCCCACGATGGATTCGGTTATCCCGAAAAATGACACAGTCAGCGCTGGTACATTCATGAAGGAGCGTGATCATCCGATCACATTACGAGGATCGCAACTACACATCAAGGATTGGTCGAACGACTCCCTCAACAAAGCGTACTACGACACGCAAATATTGCCTTACTGGATGTTTTCGTCGAGTTACGAGAGAATGATGAGTGGATTGTTGATGGATGACCTAAACTTCACACTGCATGGATTTGGGAAAAGAGACAGCGCGAAATCCTCGGAGAGATCAATGCTCCTGAAAGACATTGACATGCCTACATTGGAGTATACTTTGAGAAAAGTTCCGCTAGCACTTCAGGACCGTGTCAAGGAGTTGCGGACAAAGTACAAAGGCGATCCGGAAATGGCAATCATGCTTTCTAGGTACACTGGCGACGATATGTTCGTCAAAACCAGCGGTTACAGCATTGCGAACTGTTTTCTCGCAGAACCACTTCCCGAAGATGTGCAATGTGTTTCTGCCGCCCTCAACGGACATCTCGCTGGGAAGAAGTTCCTGGAATTACTGAGTAGTCTGAGACCGCTGCGGAAGAGGATCGATCATATCGCACCCGGCACATAATTGGAGCGTACCGGCATTCGCTTCATCGATGGATGGAATAGACTGATGGAATACTTATACAAGTTTCACTTTGTGTGTGCACAGGCGTTGTACATGACGAACTCGATTCTTTCACCGATCAGATCTCGGTCGATGGAACCCGGTGATTGCATCAATCACAGTCTATCGGACAAACTGAAACAATTCCGAGATATCGTTCATGGTATCGTGGTGAAGGAACTCATGAACCTACACGAAGATTGTGGTGTGTTCGGTGACAATTACAATCCGGATTTGGACAGACTCTTCATGATGTATGGTAGAGAACTTGATGCCGAGGAAGATTCTCCGCGAAGACATTTCACTCTCGGAGTGCGTTCAGAGTTCATGCGTGCCGAAACGCATAATCAAACCTCACCAAAAACAACCCCCGTCAAATTGAGTCATGTTTAGGTCCAAGGTTGTTTACCTGTTCTCATCCCAGTCGTGCGGTTTCTTGGTTTCGTTGGGCTTGATGCAACGCACGTAGCTCGGCTGGCACTTCATCAACGTGTCCACAAGTACGTTGGCTTGAGTCTGCAAGGAAACAGAACATGCAGTAGAAAAACAGACTCTCACGAAATCGTTCTGGAATTCCCGGGAAAATGGACTAGCATGTCTATCTTCACCTTCTTATGGATATTCAGTCATCCATTGTAAAACCAGCACGTTTAAGCCAGCATGATTTTCCGGATACGAGAGACCCTACACCATCACAAATGCAAGCTGTCTCTTTGCTGGACACTGCCATATCTCAATCAAATTTTCGGCCAGGAGCCGCCATTATCAATTGCCGGCCTGCCAAGAAGCCCCGATCAGGATAATATAAACTGTGCAGCAAAGAGACCACTGGCTTTGAGGACGATGCGGGGTTTTCCGTGTAATGAAGTGGCTGCAGTGGAGCTAGTGCACCTTGAGAAAGGATTTTCCGGAACCAAACAAGTTCCATTCAAGCACATTCACAACACCAGACCTGATTTGTTATCCTAGCATGTACTGAGGAAATATACCCAAACAACATTGTAGGTACTGTGTTGCATGACAGTCTCATTGAGAGGGAAAAGTGTGCGGAATGCACACAGTGCAAACAGGCAAGCACACACAATGCAGACCAGCATACACACACACCGTGCAGACAAGCACACAGGCCAGACCAGCAAAAGCTCAAAGTCGTAACATTGACACGTCCCACCTGCATTTCTTACCAGCGGTATTACAAACTGGAAAAAAAGATTGGTGAATGTCAACTCACCCTGATCTTGGAGCCGAATGTTGTCGGTCGTCCCTTGGACTTCTCCTTTGTCTTCTCTGGGAAGAGGCTGACTAAGAAGGGGCTGCAGAGGCAAAACAGCACACACATGTACTACATGTCAGGATGGGCAAAGGACCAGGAGAGCGTGAAGAGCAGGCGACGAAACACAGCCATTTCCCTGTACATTGGCTGCACATCAAGCTGCGGTTTGCATGCCGGTCAGGTGGTAAGGTGGCGCGCACGGGGCATGCTTAGTTACTGTACATTTACGAATATCCTTATTCCACGTAGACGAAAAACAATTCTTTTTCCGGTCTGCATAATTTGAATATTCGAATAATTTGAATGTTTCTTTTCGGCACCAATTCTTACATGTTGCTGCTCTGCATGAGCTCGATGAGATCGGTGAAGAGTACGTCACGGTTACGTTCACAGAAGCCCTCGGCATCGTACGTCACCTTTCCAGCGTAATGCTGCACGGTGAAGCCAGCGCTGAACAGGTTGAAGTGGTTGGCACCGGGCAGCGTAGCTCCCATGAGTTTCTTTCAGAGATAAACACAAGCAGACAGAGCGGTATGGTTAGGGATACGTACACGACCTGGTGACAGGAAACTAGCACTCTCCAGGAAAGTCTTTTCTCGATCAACATGAAGATACAGTAGTCTAAGACCTGTTCAGCAGAGCAGGTCGTAGAGGCATGCCACTGCACATCCCGTACAGTCTTTTGTAAAGACGTTGGATCCGGCACTAGTGACACTACACAATATGTACAAGAACAACTGCTGGATCAGTATGACACAGGGTACAGAAACTGAGCACCTGGCCAAATGCCCTCTTCCCATCAGCATAGATCAGGGACATGGGAAAAGCCCTAGTGGTACCTATGAGAATATAATTATACACTAAGCCGGGCCGTGAAGAATAATAACATACGCGATGAGGAAACAGAGCCTGCATGGTAATTATCAGTTGAAGATCGCAATCAATCAAGCCTGCCTGTCTGCACGCTAGTAAAGCTAGGTCCGACACTCACCTCCAGCAGTTTGCTATCAGCACCGTCAGTCTGGGCATGCATGGTGGCGCAAACATCGTCCATCACTGACACAATACCCGGCGGTTTCTGAGATCAAAGCAGACAGACACGGAGTGTACACATGCACGCGAGCGCACACATGCATACGAGCGCGTACACAAACACACACACACACAGCAGATAACACCAAAATTAACTGGTAGAACCAATGGCACCATAAAAAGAGGATTTCACATGTGAATCAGAATGTCACAAGTCCCCCTAGATTTTGAGAGAGTGCATATAGTTCACATTTGAACTAAATAGATATGTTAGCAGTGCTTGTTTTAGGGGACACAATACAAGAATATTGGAGAGCCATGACAAAAAAATGTATGTCAACAGGCAAAAGAAGATTCCATCAATGCATCTGCGTGCAGGCATGTGCGCACGCCCACGCACACATGAACGGGCATGTGTGTTTTAACTCACCTTGCTTTCGATCAGCTCACACACAACTTTGTTGTTGAAGAAGTCAATGGGCGTCCACTTAATGCCTTCTGAAACATATTCATCCTACAGGCATGATGTCAAACACAATCAAACAGTGGATACTACTTAAAAAAAAACATACATTGGCAGCGTTCGGCCAAAAAAGATAATTCAGCAAAACAAAGGATGAAAAGTGTTTTCCACCGGAGACAAAGAAAGAAAGAAAGAAAGAGAGAGAGAGATACAGAGGGAGAGAGAGAGAGAGAGAGAGAGAGAGAGAGAGAGAGTGTGTGTGTGTGTGTGTGTGTGTGTGTGTGTGTGTGTGTGTGTGTGTGTGTGTGTGTGTGTGTGTGTGTGTGTGTGTGTGTGTGAGCCTAGCTAGACAAAAATGAGTGAAAGCAACCTGATAGGAATGACCAATGGTTTTAAAATATATTCCCTCTGGGAGTTGTTACCGGTCGGTCCCATGCCAGGAACGTAAGCATGGTTTGTTGACGTGAGCAGTAGCAAAGCACACATGTCTTGAGTCGTAGTCCAGCGGCAATTGTCTTGTGAAATCATCAATGCACTAGCCAATGCATACCTGCTCAGCTTTCAGTGTCAGCTCAATGAAGATCTGCTGCAGCTTCTCGTTGACAAAGTTGATGCAGAACTGTTCGAAGCCGTTCTTCTTGAAGATCTCAAAACCATAGATGTCCAGGACACCGATGGTATTGTCGAAATTTTTCGTCGTCATAGCTTGATTGACGGACTGAAAGGAGACACAGACACACAAACAAGTTCGACACCGAGTACTGTGAATTAGGAGTGTGTTGCATGGGAAAGTGGCGTACGTTTCCATCCCAAACCTTTCCAAACACCTGAGAGTCTTGTGACAGCGGGAAACGCATAGTGAACAACTTCCTCCGAGTTCCACGTTTTTAGAACAGTGTGGTTTGACTAGTGTTTATCACATCAGTGCTGATCAATTATCACAACACACAACACATAAGTTACAGAAATCAAGTATCTTTCTTCTACTGTACAAAGTGGATAATTCAAAGAAACGACGCATACCAGTCACGCATTCATACTTGTTGTGTGTGTGTGTGTGTGTGTGTGTGTGTGTGTGTGTGTGTGTGTGTGCCTTTTGTGCATGTGTGCATGCATATAAACAGCTTACCTCGACAAGCAAGTCAAAGACACGGGCGTAGAGCGACTTGGTTAGGGCATCTCTTGCCTGTCCAGCCTGCTCCGGGTTGAAGAGGACATCTGTGCTCTCACCCCGTACCGTCATCACACGGCTAGCAACATTGTGCCGCAGCAGGAGCAAGCAGCAACAGCAGAAAGGACATGTCAGCAACAGGGCAAACTGTGAAGGAAGGCAGCCCGCAACACGAGCTACAGAACTGGCCAAAGAATGCAACCTCGTGTATAAAATAGCGTTGCCGGGCGCTACTCAGCCCTAGCCCTATGCATACTGGTGTGTGCACTTGAACGCGCCGTTACTTTATTCATGAGGTTGGATTTCTCTGCCCAGCAGTGTACATACTGCAAGTTGGGCTCTGTGTCCCACCAGGCTACTGTATGACATGTTATTAGAACGAGTCGCAAATTTAACGATTGTCCAAAATTCATAGGTTAACGAGAAGATATGTTAACGATCTTGCAGTATTCTGCCATATCCACACACAGGATATATGAAGCAGTACGGCCTCAACGGATCTTATTATAACGAAGAAATGTCATCCGTTAAAACGTTAGATTTGCTTCCTCGTTATATATACATGTCTTACAGTATGCCAGAATAAGCAAAATCACACCACCATGTACAATAGCACTCCTGTCAGGTATGCACACGCAGAGGTCCCCTAGAGCTAATCCAGCTAGCATGACGTAGCTCGGGCAGAGAGAACAACAACAGCGCAATCCAGACACACGCCATTACCTGGTTAGCTTGGTGGTGAGCTGTGTCTCATCGATGCCAAACAGATACGAAGGAAACTGCAGGTCTACATTTGCACAGAAAAGCAGCACAAGAAAGACAACATATTGACGTAGTGCAGAACTACTAATGCCAGCACTGGGTGCATATTGAGGATTGGCAAACAGGTGCGGAGCATTCGCAATCCCAGATGAGCTGATTACGACAGAGTAACGGCGGACACAATGTTCGATTGGTCTGGCCATACCATGGTCCTTCATACTTTGCAATATAGCAGATACAAATGACCTCGGAAATAAACAAGGGTTGGCCACCGAACAGTTGTTCCGACAATGGCCTGACCAACCGGACCGGTTCCACCGTCCCTGTAATAAGCACAACACAAGGGGGGAATTTAGCACAGCTGCGAGAAATCATTTGCAATGTACTTACACGTTGCGTCAGCAGGGGCGGCATAGTTGCCGTTTTCCACAAAGGACACGTTGCCAAGGTGAAGAATGGCCGCCACAATGGAGATGACGTAGTACTGCTCATCAGCTGTCAGACCAATTGTGTTCATAGCACTCTGGAACAACAGTATAGGCAATACATATAATAATGTTCATAGCACTCTGGAACAACAGTATAGGCAATACATATAATACATACATAATTATGCACACACAAACACACAGTGAGGAAATGAACCCTTGCAGGATACCAGATCAAGAATTGCCCCAAAGTGGTATACATATTTCTAATTCAGGACAATCAAGAGAAGCTGCAAAGCCAACATAGGTCTGTGCCATCTTCACAGATATTGCACATCATATTGGTCTGAAGCATTACAGGGACAGTTAAGAGAGCATGTCTGAGAATACCAAAGTATGTGTGCAAGTGGATCTCTCCGATTTCGCTCAAAATTTGCAGGTAGGTTCCCTTTGGGATGTGGATCGATTGGGCAAAGCCCTTGGAAAAGTTTCTGAAGGGAACCTTGAAATTTGCATACCCTCAAAAATGGCCGAAATATCACATTATTTATGGGTCTAGAAACGAGTCACGCCACAGCGTATACGAACAAGCTATGAACAAAACTCTATCAAGCCAACATTGCCTCACCTTAGAAGAGTTCCTGGAGCAGTACCGCTTAGCCACGCCAGCATCCCAGAAGACGAGGTCCATCACCCCCTGACGCCACAAATGGTCGTCTTGAAAATAGCCAATTTACAAGCGCTGGCAAAACAGCCAGCTACGTCCTCAATTGGCCAGAACTATACACCGGCAGATAGTAGAACACCTCTTCTAGCGCTGAGGACATGCCCCCATCTTCCTTTTGGGGTTTTCTTGAAATAAACTTTTTTGAATTTTTCCACTCGACCATGCTGAAATACGGCCAAAGTCATACCTGCGCAGGAAAGCTCGCCCCTCCGCGACGTCTCCTCAGCAATTTCTACTCCAACACTACTCCCAAGGCCGCAGAACAAAGTGTAGTGTTGACTCTGACAAGGAAAAGCAGCGGTGATCACTTGTCACTCCAAACGACAAGCTTCTCCTTGCGCCACCAATAATTTTTTGTGCGACTGTTGATGCAAAAGTGACTGAAGGCCTGAGCGCAGTTTTTGAATTTTATTGCAAGATGCACGGTGAAATCATGTGCCTTGTGACGCAAGAATGCCAAGTCGCATGGCCCACGGCTCACGAAATTTCAGAGTGACCTTTGTCAAGCGCGCTTGTTACTCGCCTTGAACGCCCGTGGCTGTGGCGTTGGTCTGGAAGTGATCACACTTGTGTTGTTACTGCACTCAAGAACACGCTGACCGTGTTGTAGGCCTACGAACTGGGACTTTCCCTGACCATGTACGTCGAAGACCAGGCAAATGATGATGAAATCACATTCTTTATGACGTAAGAAATCTCTCATGCAGTTCACGCGACAAGTGCGTGCAGCCAGTGCTGCTCGCGTGCCAGTCAACACAAAGGGACCGATCTAGCCGCTTTTGTTGAGCATCGACATGAAAACTAGGGACTTTTACTGTTGGACTATGTTCGGGATTGCAGAAGGTAAGTGTGAAAGACGAATAACTCTCCATGCTGTACGGGGCATATTTCAACGGCTTGCTGCCATTGCAACACTCCTAGGACAGTTTGTGGGGGTTCTCAGCAGATCAAGGAGGAAATGCAGCTCATCTCACCTCTGCCATCATGGTCTGTTCCGAGTAGCGTTCCAGACACGTTCGCGATCGATGGCTGCGTATCGTGATGCAGGAAGCGTCATCCTACGTCACAGAGCACGCGATCTCACCGTGTATCTTGCAATAAAATTCAAACACTGCGCTCAGGCCTTCAGTCACTTTTGCATCAACAGTCGCACAAAAAATTATTGGTGGCGCAAGGAGAAGCTTGTCGTTTGGAGTGACAAGTGATCACCGCTGCTTTTCCTTGTCAGAGTCAACACTACACTTTGTTCTGCGGCCTTGGGAGTAGTGTTGGAGTAGAAATTGCTGAGGAGACGTCGCGGAGGGGCGAGCTTTCCTGCGCAGGTATGACTTTGGCCGTATTTCAGCATGGTCGAGTGGAAAAATTCAAAAAAGTTTATTTCAAGAAAACCCCAAAAGGAAGATGGGGGACATGTCCTCAGCGCTAGAAGAGGTGTTCTACTATCTGCCGGTGTATAGTTCTGGCCAATTGAGGACGTAGCTGGCTGTTTTGCCAGCGCTTGTAAATTGGCTATTTTCAAGACGATCATTTGTGGCGTCAGGGGGTGATGGACCTCGTCTTCTGGGATGCTGGCGTGGCTAAGCGGTACTGCTCCAGGAACTCTTCTAAGGTGAGGCAATGTTGGTTTGATGGAGTTTTGTTCATAGCTTGTTCGTATACGCTGTGGCGTGACTCGTTTCTAGACCCATAAATAATGTGATATTTCGGCCATTTTTGAGGGGTATGCAAATTTCAAGGTTCCCTTCAGAAACTTTTTCAAGGGCGTTGCCCAATCGATCCACACCCCAAAGGGAACCTACCTGCAAATTTTGAGCGAAATCGGAGAGATCCACTTGCACACATACTTTGGTATTCTCAGACATGCTCTATTAAGTAACAGCAAGAGTACATAACCCCCAGAGTGTGCAACGCCTGGTCCAGCTCTGCATAGGGTCTTGGTCGAGTGTAATCGGGTCTTTGCGTCATAATACCGTACACATCTGAGGGGAACCCAGGGAGTCGCGGGGACTCTCGGATCAAAAACAACGGTGCCCTGCCTCGAGACCGGCCTTGCGCTGGTGTGGAGTGTACGCATGACATCAGAAGATCCGACTACGCTCAACCAAGACCCTATGCAGAGCTGGATCCGGCGTTGCACACTCTGGGGGTTATGTACTCTTGGTAAGAGCAATGGACGGAGACAAGCAAAGCTTCATGCAGACACATGGACACACACACAACACACAGTGACACCCCCCCCCCCCACACACACACACACATCCACACAAACATGTATACGCCCATGCACACACGCACACAGTCAATGAGTACACACCCTCATTTCATTGTAGTCGTCGATATCGCAGATGCCGTCAACAGTGTATGTTCCACTCTGGTTCAGATAGTAGAAGTAATCAGGTGTGGAGAGACCAAGAGCCTCTGTACAGCCATACAGAAATACAAGTGACACGAGAAAGGATAAATACAAGAGAATAGAGTCACAGAGGGATAGGTTGAGAGATAGAGAGAGAGAGAGAGAGAGAGAGAGAGAGAGAGAGAGAGAGAGAGAGAGAGAGAGAGAAAGGGGGGGGGAGAGAAAGAGATTGATAGGTTGAATTCGATAGATAGATAGATAGAGAGAGAGAGAGAGAGAGAGAGAGAGAGAGAAAGAGAGAGAGAGATTGAGTTCGATAGATAGATTGATGGAGAGAGAGAGAGAGAGAGATAGAGAGAGAGAGAGAGTGATCCATGCGGAACCTTTACGGCTCGCACGAAATCCAGTCAGACTGACTTTCCCGCATATCCGTAGGAACGCCACCATCCTCAACGATCAAGGCGCAGACGCAGTTCATAAAGTGGTGGGAGATGAGTGAATCAGACAAGCCCACTAGAAGGTGGTTCTCGTAACACCCATAATCCCATTTTCTGATCTATGTTAGGATAAGCAAGTATGGTAGTAGATTGACATCTTGGGATACTGGTAACAGCACCACGATTAAAGGTGCGAGGGAAGATAGAAACACATGCACACACACAGTGTGGGCGTGATTCACAACACTGACCTTTGTCACTGTCCGTGGCACCAGCCAACAGCTGGTAGAAGATATGGAAGTTTCTCTCGCTGGGGTTCTGGCTCACCACACGCGACTGCAGATCAGATTACAACAACAGTATCAGTTACAAACCCCGGCCATCATTGTACATGGGCAAGATCTTCAAACTAAATGAGCATGCTAGAGATGACTGCGCTGAGAGAACAATAAGGGATGTGGACAAGAACACTGTGGATATATTGTAGTAACCCACATATAGGCGCATGCGCCTGTATTCGGATATAAGCGCACTCTCACTTACAAGCGCATGCTCTTATAGGCGAAGCACTACCAAAATTATCACTTTCACACAATCACGGATAAAAGTCTGCAAACAGCATACAGGAACCATGAAACTGACACTTCAAGACCTAGTCAAACACAAAGACTCCGGGAAACGAACTCTGATCGCGCATGCGCGTTTAGGTGAAAAGATTCATTTTTGAAAATTGGATTCGTAGCAAATATATATGTGCGCTATTACGGTAGTACTGCTGATACACCACATACCTTCTCAAGCAAGAACTGGGAAATCTTGCCACCGATCGGTGTGCCGCCACCAGCAAACTGCATTTCCACATACTTTCCCTGCAGACCAGAACAAAGCAAACACATTGTCAGAACTAATTCACAAATGGCACTATCCAAGAATTTAAAAAAATTCACAGTTTGCGTCACTCGGCTAGAGGCGGAGTTTTCCGCATCGTAGGAACGCCACCACCCTTCAAGGATCACTATCCAAGAGACCCATGTTATTCCAGTTTAATATTCCTCATCCACCGGGACTCCACAGGTGAAGAGTTCATGATACAACCAACAGTGAAGGAGACAATTGCAACAGTTCCTTTCAAGACAGTGAGCTTTGCATAAATGATGTATGTGTGTGTGTGTGTGTGTTTGTTTGTGTGCGTGTGTTTGTATGTATGGGTGTGTGTGTTTGTGCGCGCCCGTGAGGATAGGGCACAAAACAGAGGTGCCGAGTGTTATGAATGATCTCTGCATGGGCTGTGCAAGCACAGTGCAATAGTAAGGCACGGATTAGTTATCAAGTGTGCATGGTTTATGCATGAGCAATAGGCATTCATAACGCAACATGTAATTAAAGGGGAAGTTAAGGCAAAAATTAAAATTTCACCAGTTGTAGTCTTCGGGGTGCTGAGTCGAATGGTCTTGGTCCGAGGAAGCTGAGACGCTCCCTTCCTACTTGAATCCCAATTGAACTCGCGCACTTCCACCGAAACTGGGTGACTGCGCCCTACGGATGGGGATTTGTATGCAAAATGTCACTAAAAGCGCCATTTCGTTCTTATAAAAGCAAGGATGACCGCGATTGGCCCATATGTTGTACTCTTTTGGACGCTGAGTCGACTGGTTTTGGTCCGAAAAGGCTGCGATGCAGCGTTCCTCCTTTATTTCCAATCGAACATGGTTGAAGAAGCGGTCACGTGCTCCTGGGTGCCGAAATCACCTGGTCACCACGCCAGCAGGCGACAACTTTCACACCAAGGTTCAACTCGAGTTCAACTCGAGTGACAAGACTGCACCCAAAAAAGGTCAAACAGGCTAGTAAGTTGTACCCTGCAGGCACGGTGACCAGGTGACTGGTACGCAGGAGCACGTGACCACTTGTTCGACCATGTTCGATTGGGAATAAAGGAGGAACGCTGCATCGCAGCCTTTTCGGACCAAAACCAGTCGACTCAGCATCCAAAAGACTACAACATATGGGCCAGTCGCGGTCATCCGTGCTTTAATAAGAACGAAATGGCGCTTTTAGTGACATTTTGCATACAAACCCCCATCTAGTAGGGCGCAGTCACCCAGTTTCGGTGGAAGTGCGCGAGTTCGATTGGGATTCAAGTAGGAAGGGAGCGTCTCAGCTTCCTCGGACCAAGACCATTCGACTCAGCACCCCGAAGACTACAACTGGTGAAATTTTAATTTTTGCCTTAACTTCTCCTTTAATGATAAATTCAGAATGATTTCTGTTCCTGTCTACATGAAGGAACAACCACAAAAAGTACCACAACTTCACTTACAAATCGACTAGAGTTGTTATTTCGCGACGTCTTGGCGTTTCCAAACGCTTCCAGCAGCGGGTTGGACTGCAAGATGACATCCTTGACACGCTGCACAGCATCACCACCTCCGGATACCTTGGTGATGTAATTCATGATGAACTTAGCTGCCACGGTCTTGCCAGCACCGGACTCTCCACTACGTGTGTGTGCGTGCGTGTGTGTGTGGGTGTGTGTGTAGGGCAAGAATATGGAAAAAGGGAACAAAACAAGAGGTGAGGTCAACAGCCACAAGAGGACAATGAGAGTACTCGGTACACAATTGAAAGCAGATGACAGACAGGAGAGGGATACGAAGGGAGGGAAAAGACAGGCAGAATGATCATTTCTTCTCATAACCGGTGAAAAATGTTGGTCCTCACTAGCAGTCAGACCACTACTTTTGTGAATAATCATCGGAGAAACAATCACTCGTCTTCCAGGACCCCCCCCCCACACACCCCCCCCCCCCCCCCACACACACACACATACACACAGACCCACACATACATACCCCACCCACACTTACTCCCACACAAAGACGAAGCACAGAAGAAAAGAAATGGACAGGGTATGTACTGGTGCGTGCCCATGTGTATGTGTGAGAAGAACAGAGGGAGAGCGAGCGAGCGAGCGAGAGAGAGAGAGAGAGAGAGAGAGAGAGAGAGAGAGAGAGAGAGAGAGAGAGAGAGAGAGAGAGAGAGGAGAAAGGGGGGGGGGAGCAGATAAGGAAGACCAGAACTTACGAGATAATAACACACTGGGGTTCCTTGTCAATAACCATGTTGCGGAACATGTTGTCCGTAACAGCATAGATGTGAGGAGGGTTTTCATAGCTTGCCTGCACATTCACAGTAATAGGCAATGCAAACAAAACTTTTTTTACAGTACGAGGAAGAAAAGAGAAAACTCCGTTACAAATTGAATTAGTCTTGTAAGGATGCATCTGCTGAGGATTTACTTTAGCAAGTAATAAAAAGAATGTATAGGGTGTGGAGTGGTGACGAAGTCATCACGCCTGGTTTGGCACTATCTACAGACGCGCCTGTGGAGGGGGTGAACAAGGAAGCAGGGATGCGGAGTCGACGCTTGCTGCTTGTGCATGTTAGCGCCGACTTGTGAACTGGGGTGATGTGGGCGCGTAACTTTAGGAAGTACTAGTAATCGAAGAAACCCAGTCAATCCCACAATAGTACATTACAGCTAGAGTGTGCAACTACGCACAGCTTCGCATACTGAGGTCTGCTGCAGCCAAAGTCCAGATGTTCCACATCAATAGTATACTGTAAAAGCCATAAAGAAGTGCTAAATCTAACGAGTTAACGCGGAGAAATCTGTCGTTAAAATGGAAATCGTTATACAGAAATCGATACATATACTGTTCCATTGAGCGTTGAGAATGAGTAAGAATTACTTTTGGTACACGTAAAAAAATTAGTAAATCATTATACAGTTGTGGCAAGTGAAATCCAACACTTGGCATAAGGGACTGCACCATGCAGTCTGCAGCCCTGCATACGTACAGTACATGTGTTCCATACAACTTTATCTGTTTCATGACAAAACTCGTACTCATCACAGTCAAAGTTCAAAAGGTGCTGGCAAATATGAATGGGGATTGGATACCAATACTCCTTATGTGTACCTTGTTTGTGAACTGTGTGTATCTACGCTGTGACCTTTTGATCTGTTTGGGATGCATACGGCTCTATAGTACAAATTAGATGCAGTGCATTACATCATTGGTGTCTATTTGTGGCGCTGTCCCCTATGGCAAGTGTCGGATTTCACTTGCCACAACTGTATATGCACCTCGTTAGAATAATGGCGTTTACAGTACTGTTTTAGCAGAAATATTCGTCTGGAATTTAATTTCGTCTTTTTCGTCCAAGAGCTTTTGGACTAAATTAAATGTAGGACGAATATCGATTTGTCCAGCTTTTCTATACACTCTTATGATCCATGGACGAAATTTTCAACTGGACGAACTCCTTTTCTTTGGAGTTGGACGAAATTATTGACCGACGAAATGTTCTGCCTCTACAGTACTCAGGTTGCTACAGCTGCGCTCAGTGGAATCCGACCAACAGTGCACACGTTGTGTCCTCAAGTTGCACAGTCCTAGACGCCCTGGAAGTGGTACTAATGCGGCTGGCCGTACACAAGTCATGTGCAAATACTAGCGTGTCATCTGAATTGGTACAGGGCGTCAGCTTTGCACTTGTGCATGTACATGTAAGTGAAATCCAACCCCATGCTCCTAACTCTTGCCCTGGACCCGTTCCCATCACTTCTATCACTGTATTTGTATATGTTTACGTCCAGCAGCAGTCACGCCACTTCCAGGGCAGCAAGGACAGTGCAAGACCACGGTGCCAACATCTAATAATGGACTTTGCGTTGGATTTCATCTAGCATAACTGTAAATGCAGTTGGCGGGGGATAAGTCACGGTGGAATGGTACCCCGTGGCACTCATCTTCATCTGCCGAGCCGCGTCCTTGACTTATCCCCTGCAGGGTGAACATGAGTATCGAACTGTCTACCGTCTTTCTGGCATTACCACTTGCACTTGACAATAGAAGCTTTCCATATGTGCAGTTACTCAAGCGGGATTCGCAGAAGCTTTTTGTGCGATGCGACACGCGATGCGACGTGATCTGCGACGGATGCGAACTCGCGAAATACCATTCACAGAAGAAGTCAGCGGTGCGACAACGCCTTGCTGATTTGGCGCGAAGTTCAATGCAGGTGGGTACGTCACCACGGTACTAGTATTCGCGTGGTTTGGTACAACTTGTACAAATTTATAAGCAACTCTTGAACCTTTGTACAACTTTGCTGTAGAAAAGGTCAAAATCGTACGCCAAATCGCTTGTCGCATCGCAAAAGTTGAGCCAAGCTCAACTTCTGCAATGGCCCAGTTGCGGCAGTTGCGTGGGGTGTGAGATGGCTGCGAATTGGGGATTTCCCGGTTTCGCGGCTGTCGTATCGCGTGTCGCATCGCAAAAAAAAGCTTCTGTGAATCCCGCTTCAGAGCTATGATGCGTGTTTTTTTGTTTTGTTTTTGAGGTGAACACAGCCAAAGAGTGAATGGATAAGCTAAGAAAGCTAAGTGAACACGGCAAAGTGTGTACAGTGATGACCCTACATTGCCGTAGGGTTGTGCAGGGTGGTGTAGAGTACAGCGTGGGCCCAATGCCAGTCAACTCGCTCACAATACTCACGCATTCCTTATTTGCCAATGTTCACTGGGCGTATACCTTTCAGCCAGAACCATACGCCATCTGCTACCACTGCACAGCAGTTGTGCACTATTGATAGAATCTGTGAAGGAGTGACACGCATAGCCTATGGCAACTTACACATCCTTGGTATTGCCCGATCTCGTTATCGGTGAAGTATGGCATTGCCTTGAACGGGTTGACGGAAATCAACACAGGGCCAATGTAGGTCTTCGCATCAACAAGGAGTCAAGGTTCACGCAGAGACATGTCAATACTTACATGCATAAACAGACTTGTGCGCATGTATCAATGCACGGCTGTGCATGTGTGCGTGTGCGTGCAAGTGCATGTATGTGCATGGCGGTGTATGCGTACGTACGTGTGTGTGCATGTGGGTGGGTGTTGGCACACTCGTGCACACACAGTGCACTTGGTGCCGAACTCGGAGATAACAAACAAAACGCACCAACCCCTGGCATCACAAGCAAGAAAATAACACGTCCCGTTACATGTGCCGTGCGTAGCTCACTGACCTGCTACTTTGACCACTCTGGCAACATGCATGCATGTGTGTGTGTGTAAATGAAAAATAGGGATTCACTGGCCAGAAAAAGCCACTTCAATCAGCTGTGTGGCAGATACAAGGCTAGAAATTAGTGGCGGTCAATTCATCAGCCTTGCAAGCAGTTGAATGGTGTAATCCCAGCACATGTTGCTATGTCTAACATAACTGTTCGCTATCATCGCTTCCGCGATGGGCATATCTGAGGTCTGAGGTGTGTGTGTGTGTGTACGTGAACGAGTGTGCATGTCTGTGTGTGTGTGTGTGCACATGCATGTTTGTGTGCTTGCATCGTGTGTATTCAACATGTTTACCACTACGTAGAACATGCACTGGGTTTGCGTCTGCTTTTCCAATGTCTCTGCCAGTGTATGTGTGTGTGTGTGTGTGTGTATGGGGGGCATCCCACAATGCTGGAGTATACACAGGTCCAATATCAGAAAGTATTTTTTAGCATGGATGTGCTGATTTCTGTGCCCGGGAAGAACTGCGATTGCATGAGGAATTTTCCTCTACCGAGATCGACTCCGAGTGGCCAAAACACGCCAACAGCTGCTTAGCAGAAGTAAGGAAGAGAAGGATGTGTGATGTTCTCAGAACTCTGTCATTGATGGTATGACTGCTCAAAGGCACACTCTGTGTGATGGATTGGAATCTGCTCCTTGCTTGTGCTCAACAGCTGTTCGGACGTAATGAATTAGTCCAGGACTCGCTACTAACACTATGCAGTTTCGGCTTGGATTACAACACAGTCGTGAGCGTGAACAAGTGTCGATTGTACTAGCTCATACATAACAAGCACAGAAAAGCGAACACGCATAAACAAACACTTCCACAGTATACAGCAGCAGACGACCTACGACAAAGTGCACCAAAACACTCAAGCACTGGTTTGGATACGAAAATGAGATCGTCCAGGTAGCGCTTCTTCAGGTTCTCGCAGATGGCAGCTTCTTTGATTTGCGTCAGGAGGGTCATGTCCTCCACGCCACTCTTCTTGACGGTTTTCCCTTGCCAACCCTGACATTGTCACATAGAAACGAAACACACATGGTAATTGGAGGCCGAAAGGAGACTTCACCCCAAATGTCAAATCAAACTTTCGGTTTGTTTTGTGCATGAATCTTGCGAGCGAGCAAGTGAGGGCCAAGCCTTTCACAGTACAAGAAGGACTACATAATTACAGTCAGACAGGTCGCAGAAATGCACCGGAAAAGGGGGCAGAGAGAGAAACGACAGCGAAAGTACTCACCGACATCTTGGATTAGTTCTCTGGCGACGTCTTCAATACAAAAAAATGTGCAAGGACTACTGGGGAGCCGATTGGAACACGGCGACAGGGAGACAATCCGAAGAGAAGCTCAACCTATCCTCCCGGATCAGGGTCCACCACAAACTTTCCTCGTTCGGAAATCTATCGCATCTAAAAGTTCACTACCCCAGCACTATCGCAGGGAATGCTCAACAAGAAGCGATCAATTCACTTCTAATGGCCGGCCATGGTGGCCGAGGTGGGGTCTTCGGTTCCCCTGACAAGGCTGGGAGTATTCTGTTGTTGAGCTCGACAAACAAAAATATAATGGATACTTTACTCGAGTACAACAAGAAAATCAGCCAACAGGCGAAAACGACGTGCTACTTGCTGATGAACGCTGGTGAAAGGACTTTCACCACATCCCGATGTTCACCAGGGAGTAGTACTCCCTGTACAGCACCGGGATGCAGATTCAGACCAGGGAGTAGTACAATACCGGTAATGCGGTAGACGGAGTCTACCACTCCTGATTCAGACAGAGACTCAGTGCGAGGGTGCCGTAAAACCGAGAAATTTTGAAAACCAAAGCCGCGAGCCTTCCGTTTTCTCAGTTTTCCAGCTTTTCAGGTCGAGAGGGAGTCGCACAGGAGCCGTTACACAAGTTTCTATATTGCCGCAGTCCTTTTTTTGCTATTGCCGCATCACTTTTTTGCTATTGCCGCATCATTTTGGCGGTGCCGACGAACACGCTTTCTCGTTTGCTCACGAACTTTCTTCTGCTTCACTACAACTTTCTTTGCACGATCAGCAGCAATCCTGTTTTTCGTCTCCTTTCTCTCCTCATCCTTTCCTTTTTCACTTTCCTTGGGCGTGATTTTCTTCACGCCGAAGGCGAGTAGAGACTTCTGCATTGTCACAAGGAAACTGGTAAAGCACATCGCTCTTCTTCGCAGAACGACCTCGGGAAAGAAGAAACCATTGAGATCGCCAACACTGAATGATGCGCCTTCGAGTGTCAGGACTTCCTGCTGCGTCCAGTTTTGAACTTTTCACCACGCGGTACACATGGTACACGTGCTTTCACAGTTTTCAGCCTTTTTTGCAGTGCAAACTGCAATGAAAAGATCGCCGCACCCCGCCGGACGTGCGTTACGAAGTCAACGAAAATTTGTCGCACTAGCCTGGTCGCGCGTTACGCCGCACCCCCCTGCGTTACGCGTTACGCGGCAACATATATTGCCAGTACGGTAGCTAGATATAGAGAGTGAATGCTTTTTTTTACCACTCCGCCATTCGGCGTTGTTGATGATTTTGACTTCGCAAGGCTAAAGGGGCAATGGTTCTATTGAAGCGAATTTAAAAGCGGGGGAGAGCGAGGGGAGAGAGAGAGAGAGAGGAGAGAGAGAGAGAGAGAGAGAGAGAGAGAGAGAGAGAGGAGAGAGAGAGAGAGAGAGAGAGGGAGAGGGAGAGAGAGAGAGAGAGAGAGAGAGAGAGGAGAGAGAGAGAGAGAGAGAGAGGAGAGAGAGAGAGAGAGCAACTACCCAGGACAGAGAGAGAGAGAGAGAGAGAGAGAGAGAGAGAGAGAGAGAGAGAGAGAGAGAGAGAGAGAGAGAGAGAGAGAGAGAGAGAGGAGAGAGAGAGAGAGAGAGAGAGAGAGAGAGAGAGAGAGAGAGAGAGAGAGAGAGAGAGAGAGAGAGAGAGAGAGAGAGAGAGAGAGAGAGAGAGAGAGAGAGAGAGAGAGAGAGAGAGAGAGAGAGAGAGAGAGAGAGAGAGAGAGAGAGAGAGAAGAGAGAGAGAGAGAGAGAGAGGAGAGAGAGAGAGAGAGAGAGAGAGAGAGAGAGAGAGAGAGAGAGAGAGAGAGAGAGAGAGAGAGAGAGAGAGAGAGATACAAGAGGGAAGCAGTGAGGTTAGGGGCATCGGGGAGATGGATTTGGTGCGTGGTGGGGCGCATCAGCGTGTGGTTGGCCAATTGGGGGTAGCAGCGAAGAACAAATTGCTATTGCATCATAAATTTTAGTATGATGAGCGAGTTTTTTTTCCGCGTCAACCAAGCTAGGGAACACAAAGAGTTCATAGGTGCACAAATACGCAGAGAAGAATACATGACGGAGTGTGTGGACGGGCAAAGTCAGACAGAGCATCAATTTTATTGCAAGGGGTAGGGGACTTGCAGCGAGGCCAGGGGTGAGGGTGCCACGGAGCAGTTTTAGGGATCCGGGAGTGATTCTGGTGCTTCATACTCTGACCTGGCAAGACAAGCCCCTCCTGTACGGGGCAAAGCTAAAGGTACTGTAAAAGCAGAAATTTTCGGTGGTGTTTTATTTTCGGTAACTAACTTACTTCGGTGCCGACAATTTTTAAAATGAAACGCACCGAAATTTTCGGTACAACCGATACTAGTACACCTACCTGGAAAACGGGTTTTACCGAAAATTTCCCCCTACCGAACCGCCGATTTTAGAGACTACCGAAAATATTACACCACCGAAAATTTCTGCTTTTACAGTATGCAGTATTATTGTTAAATTTTTTTGATAGGGCAATCCCCACAGGCCTAAGGCCTTCTTACAGGGTACCCTAAATGTGCCAATACAAGGTAACGGAAGCGAGGAACAGATGTGCAAAGGCGAATGTCAGCAGGTAGAGAGTTCCAACGATCTGAGCCTAGAAAACTAAGAGAAAAAAGACCATACCGATTTGAAGCAGCGGGAAGAGTAAGGGATTTAGAAACTTGAGAGCGTGTGCAGTACTAGCACGATGACTGGGATAGAAGTTCATAAAAGCGGCACTGGTTGGAAGGAGATGAAAGTCTTCACGGCAATGTCAGTTTGCTGCTCAAATCACGCCTGGAATACAGTTCACTGCCCCGTGCCACCAGAGGTCAGGATGCCTGCAATCTTCCCCTTCCCAACATCCGCAGTACTTCGGGATCTCACAGACCAGTTTTTGCTGCTGCTCAGTTGTGGAATCTTTTGCCCTCGTCCTTAAAGTCATGCCCTACC